ACTCCTTAAACAGACTCATTACTCCCCACAAATTACTAAACTGACTTTTTTGATAAAATTGGTGGGTTGCCCCTTTAAGTTTTGTTTCGTAAACCTGCAGTAACAGATTTTTATGGCCACTTGCGTTCAGCAGAGACCAGGTGAGAATGGGACATTAATTTGCTGTGTCATCACCAACAGCTGCTTATTTACACATCCAGCAGTTATGGAGCAACATGGTGATTTATATGGAGTGGTGTTTGTGTCCAGTATTCCCTCTCTTTTAGCTCTGTGTTTGGTCTCATGTTCACCAGCTGCTCTCCGACTGTGTATGTCTGCTGTTTGCTGCTGAGCAGTTGGTGTACACATACCTCATATTTATTTAAAGGGGCTCTTTCTGCAGCCAAACATGGTTTCTTGGCGGGAGCAGGTGATTGTTGCATGACGAGTTTCAGCCATTGTTGTCTTTATGATACAAGAGGTTATAATAGCAGCTCTATGTCTACAGGGCAGATTGGAGGCTGCAGTGACTCACTTTCAGAAAGTGACAAGATGTGCCAAGGCTGGCTGGTTAGCATGCTAACTTCAGTAGAAAAAAAGACATGATAGAGATAAGAGTTAACATTGGCAACACTGGAGACAGCTTTTGGTGAGTAAATGAATGAAGTTTAATGCTGAACTTAATGTTTCTTCTAGACTGGTAAGTAAACCGCTGTTAATGCTAATGTTAGCTATGTAGCAAAGCTACATATAGCACCTTTAAACTACACAAGAGTAAAGTGTTGATGCATCTGTAATAATAACCCAGATACATTAGGAGAAGGAATACTTATGCATTATGGGAAATATGTTTATTCACATTTTTGCCAACAGTTAAATGAAAAGTTAACTGATACAGTAGATTTTACAGCTGTTTCTCTGATAACAGCTGCCTGCTGTGGCTAAAAACAACATGATGGCAGTGAATCTGTGGCCCGGACAGATAAACAATGAGCTGAAACTCACTAAATCGGAGGGGAGCTGCAGCTTCAGCTGATAGTTCACTGCCTTTCACATATTGATATTATGATAATATCCATTATAGCCGCTTTAATATAAGAGCGAGCAGCATCCCTCGGCTCTCCAGGGGGGAAGAGGCGTGGCGGATGCTGGGAACAATTATTTGTAGACTGTAGGCTAGGTCTTTATTGAGAATGTAAGGAGGGGTTAAACCTGGAGGACCAGTTTCCCTGACGCACACGGAGAGTGTGTGTGTGTGTGTGTGTGTGTGTGTGTGTGTGTGTGTGTGTGTGTGTGTGTGTGTGTGTGAGCGGCCAGCGGACGGAATACTAAACCGGAGGGAGCAGACTGAGGAGGAGGACCAACATTTGGGGACTGTTTGATATCGACCGACCATCACTGCGCTGCCTCCAAAGCAACGGAGGCAGGGACTCACAGTGTGTACATACATGATACACACAGTCCGCCAGGAATAGATTTGGAGGATGAATAGAGCGGCGATTACGCAAGACGGAGCCGAGCCGCAGGGGGGCGCGGGGAGGACGCTCCGGTTCCAGCGGCCGCACGGTGAGTGACAGCGACACACACACACACACACACACACACACACACACACACACACGTGCTTGCGTGCACACAGCTTATGTTATGTTATGTTATCAAACCAGCATATTAGTTATGTAATCGCCTACCACCATGCGCGCGCACACACATCCTTCCTCTTTTTCATTCATTTGTGGAAGTGCAAGCGAATAGAGGCAGTGTGCGCGTGCGCGACCCCGTGACGCAACTGTTGATCGTTCTCATTGATTAATGGGCAGAGCGCGTGGTAGTCATCTCGCTCCCACAAACACTTGAATCGGATGAGCCACATGTGTTCTCACCCACCCACACACACTTCTGTACACACACTCATGCAGCATTATGTAAGTACTGTGGCCTATGAGGGTTTTGGGAGTTGGCCAACATATAGTACAGCATGTGCCGCTGGTGCTTCTCCTCCTGCAGCGTGCACAGCGAGCAGACACGGTACACGGGGGTGTTGGGTGTCCTCCGCTCCGGTGAGTCAGGGGGAAGGAGGAAGTAGGCTCTAATGGTCCGGACCGAGAGGTTGCAGCTAGGACTTGGGGGGAGCAGGGAGGGGGGGGAATTTATTTTGGGGTAGTCCTGTGACGAGGAGCGACCCACGTGGCTTCTGGATCTTCGCCTGAGGAAGCAAATGGAGTCCAAGCAGGACGTGCCTCCGGTACGGCGGCCGCGGCGCGTGCGGTTTGAGAGCACAGGTGAGGTTTGATTCAAGAGCAAATTAATAATCTGCACTCGCACTCACTCACTCTCTCTCTCTCTCTCTCTCTCTCTCACTCGCTCACTCACTCGCTCACTCACACATAAAAACACAAGCTGCACAGAGCTGCTGCTTGACTCAGTCATGAAACTCTGAGTAAAATGTGAACTTTGCCTCTAATAACCAAAGAGATGACAGAGCAGTGGTGGAGGAAGTGCTCACTAATCTCATTTAGTAAAAGTAGTACCACAATTTATTAAATTACTGTCACATGTCCAAGTCAGTAAGGGAAAGCAGCTGAGTACATTTATTAAAACACTGTACTTCTGTACTTAAGGTACATGTGCAACAAAATTAATCTGAGACTCAAGTAGATAGATAGATAGATACTTAATTTATCCCCTAGGGGAAATTCATGTGTCCATTAGCTCATTGTTGAGAATGATAATAATAATAATGATATTCAGTTGATAATAGATAAACAATAATAATTAGATTAGTCCAGTTCCTTTGGCTGAGGTGTTGTATAGCCTGATGGCAGTGGGAACAAAGGATCTCCTGAACCTCTCTGTTCTGCAGCACAGTGAAATGAGATGTTTACTGCACCTGTGGCTGCTTCTCTGTCCTGCCACAATGTTGTTGAGAGGATGGTTGGTATTGTCCAAGATGGCCTCCATGTTACATTGCATGCGTCTCACCACAACAGTTCGTAGTGAGTCCAGACTCCTGCCAAGCACAGACCCAGCCTTTTTTACCAGCTTGTCCAGTCTCTTTGTGTTCATGTCAAGTAGTTCAAGTTAGAAAAATCAAGCAGATATTTTCCAAAGTAGATAAACAGATAAAACTTTTTTTTTTTTTTACACAGGAGGAGTGTGGCTTTTGTTCCCCACCACTTCTATTGCAAACACATTCAGAGGGGTTCTTTCAGTGGTCGGTTTGAGCAGGATGAAAGATTACAGCAAGCAGGATTCACTGTAAACATCAGTGCCTGACTTTTTTAAGACAGACTTGAAAAGATGTGAACTTAGTTGTTGTAGTTGTCGTATTTTACACATTTTTGGTAAATATTGTATTTTACTCTGTCATAGTTATATATATTTACATGATATATGCATATAGACATTCAGCTGCCAGTTTATTAGGTACACCTAGTAAGCACTAACACAGCAATAAGATAAAAACTTATCCTGCAATAAGTCTTTAATATATAATTGGTTAAAAGTAGTAATACAACAGTGTAAAATACCAATGGTGGAATGTAATCAAGTACATTTACTCAAGTAAATTTATTTGCGCATTTCCATGTCACTATACTTCTACTACATCACATTTCAGTGTCGAATTTCATAGTTTTTACTCCACTACATTTATTAGAGAGCTGTAGTAACACAAATTAAGATGTTCATAGAAAACGTGATGAGCTAATGATATGGTATACATAACAGTGTATAAAATAAGTAAACATCTCAACCAGAATCTGAACACTTCCTCCTCTCCTACTGTATTATAATAAAAGTTTCTGCAGTCAAGTAAAATTGCAGAAGTATTTCCATAAAGAATCAAATGTAAAAGTATCCATAAAACCTCCTTATAATATATCTATATATTATATTGCATTGGCATGTAAGCAGGATTTCAGTGTTGTAGCTGGATGAAGCAGTGATTATTTTAACTGTTTATATATGTGTTGGTAGGTTGAAATATGTGTAAATGCATCAGATTTTATAAGATGATTTCAGCAGTGCAAAACAGGTCTTTCAACATAAGGTGCTAAAGGACAACATGGCAGGACCAAACTGTAAAGAGTCGGTGCAAAAATGTAGATGTAAATATTGTAAACAACTTATAATTTCTTAACACTGACCCTTAGAGAAGAGTTGTAACTTAGATAGACCATCTCAATGCCTATATAATGGAAAAGGCAGAACCAAACATTGCAAAATAAAGGACAAAACAACACAGCCAAAATGTAGACTGCAAACACTATAAACAACTGACTATTTCTATACACTTACCCTTGATGAAAAATTATTGTAGCTTTGTAGTAAAGTAGCTTTAAACTGGAGTTGTCATAGAAATAAAAAGTACAATATCTTCCCCTGAAATGTATGAAGTTGCAAAAAATAGGAGTAGTCAAGTGCTTAAATACCTGACATTTGTACATTGTACATTTTGCGTTTAGTACTTGTATACTTTTACTTAACATTTTGAAAGTAGGACATTTAATTGTAGTGGTACAGCACTGGAGTTAATGTGCTTCAACTGGGGACAGGCTAATGATTTTAACAGATGTTGTGTCCTCACGTGTGAAAATCCCTGGTGGCCAAACATGCAACAACCACCAAGAACACACAAGTAAACATCCAGTATTTCTCTAACCCTCACATTCCTACTCACTCCTCTGTGTGTCTCATACACACACACACCCACACACACACACACACACACACACACACACACACACACACACACAACATTATATTAGACGTCATCTGACAAAGTCACAAAAGAGCTGCTCAGTATGGATCTTTCTTGTCACGATACAGCACTTCCTGTATGCTGGGGCAAAGTTTAGAGTTGCACTTGGTGATTGGTGGATGACCTCATTCTGGGCTACACCGGGACAGTTAACGTGACTGACAGGTCACCCGACCAATCAGATACACTCCCATCCACTGCAGTGAGCCAAACAGGTGTGCTGACTGACAAACCACTCAGTCTCCTCCCACACTGACATCGCATGAGAAAGTTCAAAATCTGTTCGCTCCTTATTTCATTCTGTTAAACACACACACATACACACATACACACACACACACACGCTCACCTGGCTGTTGAAACCATGTCAGAAACACAAAGAACCCTCACTCAGAATCCTCTGGAGAAAACGTGGGGGCCATGGATGAAAAGCCGGCTGAGCCAACGCAGAGGCTGTGAGTATTCGCATACACACAACCTGACACACATTCCCACACACATGGACACTACATGGCTTCCTTTCACTACAGCGCAACAGGTTGATACTTGTGCATTAGATGAGGTGTGAAACTGTTTTGTTCGGCTTATTAAACAGTGTGTCTGTGTTTTTGGCTTCAGAGGATTATTCACTATACGCAGAGCTCAGAGTCCCTCTGAGAGAGATCAGAGACCAGAGGGCCGTTCACCCCAAAGGTTCACTGTGACAACATGAGTCCACACTCTTCTCTTCAACTTAATGTGATAATCCCCTGAACCTTCAAGTATTTAAATGTCAGTTGCTGCAACATGATAGTGGATTAACAGTGGTGGTAAAAAAAAAAAAAAAGACCAGAACAACAATGTAAAAATACTTTATGAATACTTTTATAGTTGAATTTCAGAAGTATTATCTGCAAAATGTTCTGCAGTAAAATGTCACCTCTGACTGATGTCTCAGTATTAATGCATCAATGCTTCAGCAGCACTTTACTGCTGTAGCTGCTCCAGATGGAGCTGGTGTTAAATTTAGTCCAGGTGTTCCCAACCTAGGGGTCGTGGCCCTCCAAGGGGTCATCAGATGAATCTGAGGGGTCGTGAGATGATAAATTCAACTTTATTATTGTCAAGACTTTTTAATCTTTTTGTTATTGTGAAATAGTCTATTGTTGTTATTTGAACAACTGAAGCCATGTGAGAAGTTTAGAGGGGAAATGTCTCTGTGGTTTAGCTGCCAACAGCTCATCAACTCACCTGGATCATGACACTGATTTTTTTCTAAGGTTGGGAACCACTGGTTTAATCTTTAACAATATTTTGTATTTTCTGAACGTATAATATGCTTTTTAATGTGAAATCTTAATCTGAAAATGAACTATAGCTGTGAGATAAATGTAGTGAAGTAAAGAGTACTATATCTCCCATTTGAATGTAGTGGAGAAGAAATATTAAGTGGCATGAAATGGAAACATTCAAGTAAAGTAGACTTACCTCAAACCTGCAGTTAATTATTTTCCACCACCGATTATTTTCTCGATTAATTGTTTGTAGATACTGAATGGGGAGTCAGAAACTTTTTATAACTGAGTCAGAGCTAAACACACAGACATGAAACACATTGATACAATTCATTGTGATGTACACTTCCTGAGGATGTCATTATCTGTGACCATGCATCCACTAATCAAGCAGAAAGAAAAGATACTTTAGAACTTCCCTGAGACATTACACATTTTTAAGTTTTCCTCAGGTTCACAGTGATTCAGTGATAGTTGTCTGTATTGATAATGTATTGTATATTGTATTGGATACATTGCAAACAGGAACTGCTAATAGCTAATTCAGGGTACTTTTAATGGTGCCAATTTGCCAAAATGTAAACAAACATAGGCTCAAAGCTTTGGGCTCAAAGAGAATGACAGTACCTACCAGTAACTGACCTAACAACGTCACATTTGATTAACTTTTACAGGGTCTTTCTCTCCTGATGGTGTTGTTTTTTGTCCGTCATTGTGTTGGTTCCCAAATAGGCCTGTGTTGGTGTTAACATATTTCTATCAGATTAGCAAAAACATTTTCATCTTCCTCCGTTTTCACACAAAAGTGAAATTTCACGCTGAGCTGATTTAAAAAGTTAACAGTAAAACAGGTGGGTGTATCCACATCTGTCCACAGACAAGTTTAAAAAAAAAAAAAAAAAAAAACCTGCAGTCCAAATGGGACTTTACACAATTAATAGATTATCAAACTGGTAGCAGATTATTTATTAGTAAATACGTTTGAGCTGTAGATTCCTCTTATATTGATGAAAGCTCAAACATTTGCAGGTTTAAACATCAGAAAATGGTTGTTTTTTCATGGGAAGCTGAGACATTGTTTGATTGACGTGATGTGTGGGAGATGCAGCGTCACAAAGCTGATGATCAGTGGTGCAAAGCTATTACTATGCAATGTGCAATGACTGTGTCACTGCAGTTAAATCTCCACGCCTGTTTTACAAAATAAGCTCGATTTTATAAACAACAGAGCTGCAGCTTATCACTATTGTCATTGTTGATTCTTATTCCTTTTTTCATGCTTGTTTTGTCCAAGCATCAACCTCCAGGGCTGAAAAATGAAGCCAACACGGAAGTGCTAAAAAGTGCAGTTCCTCTAATGACCACTAGACTCTGGCTCCAAAAGTGAGTCCATCCCCATAGACTCCCATGTTAAATTGTCAGAATTTACAGCAGAATATTTACAGTCTGGTACAAAAACAGTTTTAGTCTCTATTTCCTTCGTCATGACAACTGTAAGGGAGGTGAATTTTTGTGTAACTCACCTGTTTACATTTTATTGAGGATTGAAGTAATTAATAATTGAGGGCATGGCCTCTTTGAGCAACAGGTTGGCGAGTGTTTGCTCATCACAAACCGTCATTCAAGTCTTAGCTCCACACATGCCCCAACTCTCTGCATGTATTTTGATTAGTTGGGCGGAGTCAGGCACTGCCAAGTTGGCGACTATGGAGCTTCAAAACCACAGAAACCTACAAGTGATATCACTGAAGCTACTTCCATCTTTATTTACAGTCTATGGTTTTGTCCAACCAAAAACCCAGAGATTTTCTGTTTCCAGACTAATATGACCAAAAAGCACATTGGAGAAGCTGGAACCAGAGACTGTTTTGGCTTTTTTGCTTGAAAAAATTACTGAAATGGTTAATTAATTATCAAAATATACATACATTATATGCATACATACATTTTATGTATGTATATTTTTTAGTGATATGTAACACAGTTAAAAGAACACAGCTGTGGAAGGCTGTTTTTTGAATAGTTAAATTTTTCTATCATGTAAAGTTAATTTTGACTGTTGTTTCATTCATGGACAACAGGTATTATTTGTAAGTTTTGCTATTGCTACATAGCTAGTGTTAGCATTAACAGCTGTTTACTTACCAGTCTAGAAGAAACGTTCATGCCTTTACTCACCAGTAGTTGTCTCCAACGGGTGGAAAGCAACGCAAAGTTTAGCACTTGTCTCTATCACGTTTTATTCTTCTATTGAAATTAGCACACTAACCAGCTTGCCCCGGCCCATCTCGTCACTTTCCGATAGCCTCCAATCTGCCCTGAAGACGTAGCGCTGCTCAGAGGGCGTATTATAACCTTTTGTCATGTAAATGCAACAATGGCCAATGCTCTTGTGCATCAGTCACCATCAACTGCTCCCGACAAGAAACCATATTTGGCGGCAGAGAAATCATACAAAGCCCCTTTTAAAGGATTAGTTGACATATGGGGGAATACGTTTATTTGCTTTCTTGCAAAGAGTTAAACAAGCACTTAGCTTAACATAAGGACAGGAATGGATATGCTTTCCAGCTCCTCTAAAGCTGACTAATTATCATGTTGTATCTCGTTTGTTTAATCTGTACAAAAACCAACATGTTTGTGGTTTTACAGCAAGTTAGTCGAGAAATGGTTCAGCACATGAGCCCCTGTAACCTCTTACTGTGTCACCTTTGGACAGAGCTTGGCTATCTGTTTCCCATTGTTTCCAGTCTTTATGCTAAGCTAACCAGCTGCTAGCTGCTCAGAAAGGAAATAAGCGTTTTGAATGGTGTACAACACCACTCCTTCTCATGCCTGTGGTTTTCAGCCAGTCTCCCTTAATTTGCACTTCTCTGCAGACTTTTGTATTATCCATTATAATCAACATGTCTTCATGTGCAGCGTTGGAAATTTAACACTCTGTGTGCTTGTGTTTGTGTTTCAGCGTCAGTGCCCCAGTTCACCAACTCCCCGACCATGATAGTGATGGTGGGACTCCCGGCACGAGGGAAAACCTACATTTCTAAAAAGCTCACCAGATACCTGAACTGGATCGGGGTTACAACCAAAGGTATCACCTGACCATACAGGGTTTCACTGGGACTCAAGCTCTCTGCTCTAAACCCTGTGATCATACTAAAAAAAAAAGTTTCACTGTAAAGTGAAAGTAATCTTTACATTTTTATATTTTGTTTTACACTATATGTATAGTGAGTATAAACAGTAAGAGAAAAACTTGGGTGTTGCTTTCCATTACACCCTAAGATGTTCCTGTTACTTTGCCCACCCTGTACGTGTGGAGCATTATCTGTTAAATTGTATAAATATAAATACAAATACAGATGAAAGTGCTCCAGATACTGGCTTCACAACTTCTCGTGTTCTCTCCCTAACAAACTAAAACTGAAACACAAAACTGTGAATGTGTAGCTTAATTCGTGTAAATTATGTTGGTGGTCTTCTCATCAGGTCTACAAAATTAGAGCCACACTGATAGTGATATATCCCTCTTCAGCCAATGTGATATGTGCTCATTAGTATGTGTTGTTTTACAGCGCCTCTGGTACATGTATTGTTTGCCAGCATAAGCGGCATGCGTTGTGTTTGGAATGGAGTGGAAACTATACCCAGCTGACATGAACCGGTTTTGTGGCATACCGGTTTTTAAGTGGGAACACTTCTCTACTTGGGCGTAACATTTTTTTGTTGACTGACAGTTGTGAGTCAAATTACTGACGATGGGCAAGTTCTAACATGAACAGTGGAAGAAATATTGTCACCATAGAGCTCCTGTAGATCTTATTCCTAATGACAAAGGAAGAAGAGATTTGTGTGCAAAACAAGCTGCTAGTCAACAGCTCAGTGCAGGAGGCAGCTGATTGGATTAATTTAGAGAAGCTGAGCAAAAAGTGAAAGTTTTTCTTAAATGAATCCAGAAATTCGCAAACAAAAAAGGGTTATTGAGAAGGTTTATACAAACATCTGTGGTCCCCAGAGGATGAATCTTAATGACTTTGGTGAGCTTCTGATCTTTCCTCTTGCCCCACCATGACGTTGACATGTGGGGGTTTGACTGAAACGTCAATACATGAAATTTGGTTCAGACATTCACAGTCCCCTCAGGATGAATTGTTACAACTTGGAGACCAATTATCATCTACCGTAATCTGTGATTTAAATTTGTTTGATAAAATTAATCACATTCCCATCAGCCTCGGCTGTGCTTTGGATTTAGCCCTAATAGGTGAATGTTAGCATGCTAACATGCTAAACGAAGATAGTTTAGTATGTTAATATGGTAAATATGTCAGACTTTAACTACTAAACATCAGCATGTTGGCTCTGTCATTGTGAACATGTTAGCACAATGATGTTAGCATTCACAGAACTGCTAGCATAGCTGTAAGCTGTCTTGTTAGCTGTTAGCTGATGTTTTGTATAAGCTCAAAAGCTGTGCGCATTAGCTACATCTAGATATGGAAATAACACAAGTTTCCTGTAGTTTAATGATCTCACTGCGGTTGTAGTAGAGGTGCCTGCAGCATAATTTCTCTCTTTTTAACAGTGTTCAATGTCGGGCAGTACAGGAGAGATGCCACACGCTCCTACAACAGCTTCGAGTTCTTCAGACCCGACAACTCGGAGGCCATGAAGATACGCAAGTATGAACTTTCAGCTTCAACTGTGTGAGACTGTACATGTCTCCTCTCCTCGTAGTACAAACTGTACATAAAAATATGGTTGAAACCGATAAAAATTGCATTATTAAAGTGTTTTTTCTATTTCTGTGCACAGGGCCTGTGCCGTCGCTGCACTGAAAGATGTGTGTGATTACTTCAACAGAGAGCAGGGTCAGGTCGTGGTAAGTGCAATCTAACATTATAGTTGTATTCCTTAATATTGTTATACTAATAAAGTACCAAATGAGAAAAAAAAAGTTAAATTCATTATTTAGAGAATATCTGTTGTCTCTGTTCTTGAAGGTTTTTGATGCCACCAACACAACCCCAGAGCGGAGAGAGGTCATCCTTGGCTTTGCCAAAGAAAACGGTTACAAGGTTTGTTCTTTTTCTTTTTCTGCTACAAGAGAAAAACTTTATTTAAATTTCATCCAAATTCTGCTAGAATTTGTCTTTCTCTGTTCCCACCTGTTCAGGTTTTCTTTGTGGAGTCAATATGTGATGATCCAGAGATCATCGCTGAGAATATTAAAGTAAGTTTGTGTGTGTGTGTGTGTGTGTGTGTGTGTGTGTGTGTGTGTGTGTGTGTGTGTGTGTGTGTGTGTGTGTGTGTGTGTGTGTGTGTGCGCAGCAAGTTGTGCTTCCAGAATCACAGTGAGAGCTGTGCTTCGAGCCAAGAGCTGTTTTTTGAGCCAAGACCCAGAGTGTTTATTTGTTATTGGTGGAACAGACTAAGCAGGCCCTGGTCAGAGCACCGGTCACACACGACCAGGTCTCTTGTGTGTCTTGGCAGTTTTTGCATATGGAGAACAATTCTTCTGTTGGTTTCAGGCTTTACTTTCTCTTCCTTTTTTTTTTATTTTCAGTTCATTTTAGCTCAATGTGGTTCAGTTCACTTAGATTATACTCTGTGTGTGTGTGTGTGTGTGTGTGTGTGTGTGTGTGTGAGTGTGAGTGTGAGTGTGTGTGAGTGTGAAGTTAAAGGGACTGAATAACAAGTGTGTTTCAGCTGGGTTCATCACTTTTTAGTGTCCCCTGGAAACGCTTTGGTTGTTGTCTGTGTTACTTGCTGTATTTGCTTGCATTGTGAGTAATTGCTGCACGTGTTGTCAATTTAATGATGTTTTCTTTGTTTTCTCACAAAATTTGTTTGTGTTATATCTGTTAGCATGTGTTTTCTTAAGTTGCAGTGTGTTGCGCTCTGAGGGCCACCGTAGTTAACAGTAAATTTGAGCAGTTCAGAGGATTTGCTTAGTCCAACACATAACACTAGTGAACGCAAACCTGACCGCTTACAGCAAGAAATTTTTAAAGTGTGAATATGAAAATGTTGCATGAAGCCCATTGTGTGTGATGCTAGGCCCCAGATGTGGACATGCACTGCAGCTTTATGTCCCCTCACACTCTCTTCTTTTCTTACAACAGCAAGTGAAGCTGAGCAGTCCGGACTATGCAGACTGTGACAAAGAGGAGGCTGTGACCGACTTCCTGAAGAGGATCGAATGTTACAAGTTGACATACGTCCCACTGGATGACAACAATGACAGGTGACAGCATCTGTGATGTCGAACTCAGCCCAGTCTTTCTGTTTACACCCTTAATGCAGTTAGCTGGTTATTTCTGGTTTTCATCGCGGTGTGGAGGTTGGGGTGGTGGGTCTACATGTAGTGCGTCTGACTGTCAGGTAATGGACTGTGTCTCATCAAAGATCTAAATACTCACCTTATTAACTGTAATTGAGATTGTTCCCTAACCTAATAGTATTATTCACTTTCTTGCTGAGGGCTAAATGAGAAGATCGATGTCACTTTCATGTCTGTCTACTCGTTAGAGGTGCTGGAATCTGTTAATTACCAGTACCTCGGTGGACTCAGACATATTGATTGAAGATGACGGTACTGTGCCCCTCACCATGTACCGCTGCTCTGTCCTCCTCTTGTCTTTATGCAGGAACTTGTCTTACATCAAGATCTTCAACGTGGGCAGCAGATACCTGGTGAACAGGGTCCAGGACCACATTCAGAGCAGGATAGTCTACTACCTCATGAACATCCACGTCACCCCGAGATCCATCTACCTGTGTCGCCACGGAGAGAGCGAACTCAACCTCGTGGGTCGTATCGGCGGAGACTCCGGGCTGTCAACTCGCGGGGCAAAGGTCAGAAGACTATGGTGTGTGTGTGTGTGTGTGTGGACTGCATATATTACAGATCTGGTCTCTATACTAATACTTATATCCTCCCCAGTTTGCCAGTGCACTGGGTACGTATATGCGTGGGCAGTGTATCAGTGACCTCAAGGTGTGGACGAGCCACATGAAGAGGACCATCCAGACTGCAGAGGCTCTGGGGGTCCAGTATGAACAGTGGAAGGCCCTCAATGAGATAGATGCTGTGAGTGTGTGTTAATGTGTGTTAATGAGTGTGTGTGTGTGTGTGTGTGTGTGTGTGTGTGTGTGTGTGTGTGTGTGTGTGTGTGTGTGTGTATGTGTGTGTGTGAGGGTGTGTGTGTGTGTGTGTGAGTGTGTGTGTGTGTGTGTGTGTGTGTGTGTGTGTGTGTGTGTGTGTGTGTGTGTGCGCGTTCACAGCATTTTCATATGGTATGGACACATAAAAACACATAACATCTCTCTGTCTATAACATGTGATCTGCTGTCATTTTATAGATGTGTAGGAGAGAGCGGGGTGATTTGAGCCTGTGGGGAAGTTGAACCAACATCTAGGGGACCATAGACAAAATTGGTCATGTGACCTCACACTTTTAAGGGAGGCATCAATTTTACTCACCCTGTGATGAAAAGTGGCCATGGAAGAAGTGATAAGCCCTTTTAAGTTCACAAAACTGTTTTTAGCAGTCCCAAATATTTTTTTTCATGTTCAAGGAGTTTTGTTATTCTCGTTTTTGAACAGTTGGTCAAGTTTGAAAAAATCTCACACGTGTTAGCTTTAGGAGGTTACAATATGAGGCTGTACTGTTGTACTGACATTATCTCTAAACTACTGGATGACATGTTTTTGAAAATGGCAGGGATGGGGTAATTTGAGCGAAAAGGTCTCGGGGAAGTTGAGCGAGTGGTGCTGATAATGGAAAGCCCATCGTCACATTCAAAGAGAACAGAAGTTGATATTCCCCTGCATTTAATTTGTCATGCTTTGATAAGGCAGGTGAAAGTTTTCAGTTTTACCTCAGCATAGTCAATGGTATTTTTACCTGCATGTGGCACAACGTATCCTCTCCTGAGACTCAGCTTACCTCACATGGGGGACAGGTTGAGCCAAGAGCCCCCTTTTTTTGGGATATTATTTTATTTTATATATTATATATTTTTGTCATATTTTGAAACCTGCTTATTTTATATGCAAAGTTATTATTCCTAGGGATGCACCCCACATCCTTAAATATATGCCCATATTTTAGTTGGAGACTTTACTGTGATGCCCTCACTTTAAAGTCACCCTGCTCTCCCCTACATGTGAGACAGTGATGTCGGATAAAGACAGTTTGTTTTAGATCCTGTGTGTTTGCTGCATCAGGGGGTTTGCGAAGAGATGACATATGAGGAGATTCAGGAGCATTTCCCAGAGGAGTTTGCACTGAGGGACCAAGACAAGTATCGCTACCGCTACCCTAAAGGAGAGGTGAGTGTCAACAAGGCAACTACATGAAACTTTGGTTGTGGATTTTTGTTACCTACCGCTGACAGAGCTGCTAGATTGATGGAGACATTTCAGACTTGGTATTTGGGTTCAAATCACTAGCATGGTTATTTCAAACTTTTATCTCTATGACAATTAATTAGCAATTACTTTGGCACTAATCACTCTCTCTCTTTTTTTTTTTTGAGCCAAGCTCTCTAGTCTAAAGGGTGGAGGGAAATGTAGTATCTATTAATTCCGCTCTATTTTCTATTTGCAACTAACGATTATTATCATTATTTCATTATTCGTTGATTTAGTTTATCTATTTATGATTTAATTGATAAGATAATTGTGACATAAAACAAATCTTCACATATGAGGATGGTGAACCAGAGACTTTAACCTTCTGCATCTCTGTGGTGATGTCCCATGTCTGTGCACCAGTCGTACGAGGACCTGGTCCAGCGTCTGGAGCCGGTCATCATGGAGCTGGAGAGGCAGGAGAACGTTTTAGTCATCTGTCACCAGGCTGTCATGAGATGTCTGCTGGCCTACTTCCTGGACAAGAGTGCTAGTGAGGAAAAATACATTTCTTTACAATAACACACCAACACATGCAGTAGAATCCAACCTTTTTCATGCCGACCTCCAAAACGGAGAGAGGCCAGAGGGCCAGCTCAAAGTCAGGTTTACAGATCACTTAAGCATCAGTTGACACGTGAAATTCAGATTGAATAAAACAATACAAATTATGTTTTTTTTCCCAACATTTTCTCGAAGGGTAAAGCTGATATTCTGTAGTTTTTATTTTACTTGTCAAATCCAATGAAAAGACTAAAACCAACACACATTAATAAAGCACCTTGCACCTTTGCACTGGGTGACGTGTTCCTTCATTACTGTGAAACACACTGTAGTTTATTTAGACTCGGTCTGACACACACAGTGCTGCTGCTCCAAACACTCACTGGAGCAGCAAATGTGGATTAATCCGCCCCAACAAATGCTCTATTTCCTCCTGTTTGAGTATGATTTGTTAAAAACTACAGTGACCAGCTGTTTTAGGAAATTACTGAGCCCTTTAAAATAAATAAAACTATATATATATTTATATATATGAACTTTTTCATCAACAGTAGGGACTAGTGGGCTCATTGAGAGGCAGGCTAACACATTGCTAGTGTTTGTCTTTTCTTTGGATTTTTTTGACAATAACAATAATATAGAAAATAACCAAACTAATTGTTTTACTGAATGTCCTCTGTTAGTGAACACTGTCTTATTAATGAGCCCAAGAACCAAGACTAATGAAGAAATGTTTAATTTGTAATGGATTGTCAGTTTGAAAGTACCAAATGGTAGTATTTTTTTTATGTCTACATTTTTTTCAAGATGGATCTATGTTTTATTGTTTTTAGTTATCAATTTAGTTTTTAATTTTCACTATTGTTTATTTGAGAATAAATCATATTCAACTAAAAAAACTGAGGCTCCTGCACACAAATCAAAATAGCCACACCTTCTTTATAATTAATCATTAAGGAATTTCTTAAGAGTCTGACCCATTTCATATTGTGATTAAACAAATTGACATTTCTTTTCTCTCTCCGTTGTGTGTCAGATGAGCTTCCCTACCTGAAGTGTCCTCTCCACACCGTCCTGAAACTCACCCCCGTCGCCTATGGTCAGTCTCATTTATCTTTTGACACAATGGCAGCCTCCTGTGTAGGCTTCTTCCTTTTGATTTCCTCATCTTACCCTCAGACTGTGCCCCTTTTTGGTCAGTCAGTCAGTCGGTCGGTCGGTCCACCACTTTGGTCCAGACTGAATTACGTCAACTATTGGATGGATTACATTGAAATTTTAGTCAGAAATTCATGTTCTCTTCAGGATGACTTTTATTTTAGTCATCCCTTAAATTTAAGTCTTGCACAGTCATCAGGTCAAGTTTTTAATTTGTCCAATTATTTGGTTTATGATCAAATACCTGCAAAACTAATGAGCCCATCAGCCCCAACTGTCACCATCATGAGCGTGTTCACAAAGCGACCAGTGTGGCTATAGACTCTTCACCTCCTCCGCTGTTTATCTGTTTCTCTCAGGTTGTAAAGTGGAGTCTGTCTTCCTCAACATTGAAGCTGTCAACACACACAGAGACAAGCCAGTGGTAAATCTTTTTTTTTTTTTTTTTTCATCTTCTGAGAGTTTTCTGAGACATGAGTCGTGTCCGCAGAGCGTCCTGTCAGGCTGCGTTACGCTCCATAAGTCACAGGGTTAGGGCAGCGTTCACGTGGCCTGAAATCAAAACCCAGGGCAAACAGGGAAAGATTGGAAAGTAGCTCAGCTAAATTGACCCCCACCCAAAGTATTATCATTATAAATTGTGTGACACAAGTCTTTTCTGTTATACTTTCAGAGTGAGCAATAACACACCTTCACCAACCCGAACTCCACCTGCTGCAACCGAGAGTTTGTGAAAACTAGACAGCAACTGAGCAGAGATGTCAAAACAAAAATTTGATAAAAGTCATGAATAAATGGTTGAAACATTGAACTACTCCAAGCTGTGATCGTCAAAAAATGTCCACAGAGTTGTCCTTTTGTTTCACATTAGAAATCAGTGATTCGCTGACAGAGCTCAGCGAAGGGGCTGGGAGTTGAGGGTCCTGCTATCCATTGTTTCGATTTTTTCTTTGATAACTTATGATCCAGGCGTTAAGGAGGATTTAACTGGCAGCCGAATTATACACAGAGATGTCCTGCTCTCCATAACTAACAGAACAAAACCTGATAGAAACACTGAGTAAAGCAGGTTCACCTTTAAAAATGAGTGATTCACTGACACAGTTCAGCAGACACAGGATGTCTCGGAGCTGAGCTGTTTAACATTTGCTCAGCTTTTTTTATCTGATAACTTAAGATCCAGACGTCTGATGACTAAAATCCTTCATCTGGTTAAAATGCAGAGTTGAAAACAAACAAGTATAAAAGGTGCAGCATGCAAATAGAGGATATGACGTCATTGAGGGGCAAACAAATGACATATTAAAATCACAGATTTCTCTGGTTTGAGAATTGATGGAAACATTTGGGATGATGTAAGAACATAACTCAACAAAATATAAAGGTCCAGTCATTTTTAGATATTTTAATGTGGAAAAGTTACATTTTACATAATTTTGAATCAAGTTTAAACCATAAAAAGTGGGTGTGGGGGAGGCAAAAATATGATAGACAAACATACAGCACAGTCCGTAATGGCACACTGTTGCAGAACAAAGTTTTCCAGACACATTCATGACTGAGTTTGTCTCTTTCTCAGAACGTGGACGTGGACAGAGAACCAGCAGAAGCATTAGAGACGGTACCAGACCACATCTAGAGGAGGAAACTGAACAAAACCAGGGAGCTGGTTTTGTTTCCATCCACCGTGACGGAAAGTGGCCTTTTGTTTGTTTTTTTTTAATTTAAGTAATCATAGCAATCGTTGTTGTGGTCATTGTTGTGAAGTGAAAAACTCAACAATGAAAGTGCAGCATTTCTCCTGTGGCAGCCTACTTCCGTTGTAAATGCACTTTATAATGCAGGGCTCAGGCCAAATGTCAGTGATATGAAGAGAAAGCGTCTGGCTAGCAGCCAGTTAGCTTAGCTTACTTTAGCTTAAAGATTTGAAATGGGGAAACAGGTAGTCTTGCTCTGTTCAAAGGTAATAAAATTTGCCTACCATGACATCATAAAGCTCAACAATCAACACGTTGGTTAGTTTGTTTAACCCATCAGAAATTAACAGATTACACTAGTTGCCTGCTATAACCTGCCAGGTAAGGGTCAGGTGTATGACAGGGGTAGCTGAACTTTGGCTACTACTTGCCACTAATGTTTGATATATTTAACTTGCATAGACTAGACTGGCTGTGAGTATTTTTATGCTAAAACAGATATTTAAAATGTATATTTGAAAAGTACAACAGCATTGACACGTTTCCTCTTCATTATCTCGTTTTTCCATATTTAAACAAAATTTCCCTGCTTCCAGTCTTTACGCTAAGCTAAGTGGCTGCTGTCTATAGCTTCATATTTAGCGCAGAGGTATCAATCTTCTCGTCTGACTCTTGGCAAGAAAACAAACATGAAAGGCTAATTCCCCTGAATATCAACCTGTTCCTCAAACTTGAACTGACCTGTAGGTTTGAGTCACTGTGTATCGTGTTTTCTTTGCATTCGAGTACTCAAATGGTTTTTGGGTGGATTGGTTTTGGTCGCTGTCACAGTGCTGCTTTGGTATCAACCTTGCCTTGACAGAAACAGGGCCATGCAAACCACAATTCCCACAGTCCTTTGAGAGTGAAACTAGAGGAGACATTTGGCACTTTAACTGCCTGACACCATGATGTGCCTCACGTAACTAAAATATACATGATTACTCTATGCACCATACATACACACACACATACACACACACTGGAGGTGCAGCGTGAGTACTGTTGTGTGTTTTTAATAGACGAAAGAAACATGATGGGATCTGGTGCAATATTAATAACTGTGGTGCAGCATGTCAGTGTTTTTTAAATATGAAAATATTTCAAAGATGGCTGGCTGATTGCGAAACCTTGGTGAAATACATTGACCGTGTTCATGGTCTGGGGTCTGTGTCACGAAGCAAGTTTGACTTAGTCTGGCTCTCTTCGGTTTTCAATGATTCTGGATAATCATGGTATCATGAAGCTGGTTATGAACTAGCTCTGGGTTTATTGGTCCAGCTCTGAAAGAGGTGGTGGTGGTGTTACTTCAGAACCATGACTGCAATATTTAAGCTCACATGAGATAAGTAAAGTAGAATAAGAAGCCATAGAAATAGTAGAAATGATTATCAAAACAATTAATGAATACAAAGCTATAAACTGCAGTAATTATATCGAACTTTTTAAATATGGTTGGACTGTTAAACATGTGCACTTTAAATATAAAGAAATTATTTTTAAAAACTCATTACTGTAAATCATGTTATTTTAAATGCTTTTGTTTTTATTTCATAATGGAATTTTTTCTTATTAAATAAATGTTGGTTTCTATATTTTTTCCATTTTGATTATTTACTGTTCAATTAGCAAATTATCATAAATATATATATATATATACCTGAATATTGAACTTTCATATAATGGACATATTTTGGTGCCATTATGAATACTAAAAATAACTAAAGTAAGAAAATAATACTAATGTCTGATATGTTCAATTTATTGACCTAATTTGAAACTTTGAGTAATTAATATGCATCTATAATAGTCATCTGAGCGGTTGGTGGTTTTTTTAAATTTCAGTTTTTAAATTCACAGTAAACATGTTTTGTGTAAAAAACATTTCTTCTATCCCTTATGTAATTATCATGGAAGGCAAATTAGTCTAAACTCGTTTTTTTCATCGATTTGAGGACCCAGAAGGATTTTCCAGTTATCTGAGTGGTCATGAGTCTGTTTAGCAGTGCAGCATAGGTTAACATGGTGACACACCCCACTTCAAAGTGAGCCAGCTTCATGAAACTAAAAAACCTGCGTTAAGCCCAAAGATAGCTGGATAACCCGCTAATCTGTCTTCATGATACAGGCCCCTGTTTTGTGCATTAGTAGTAAGTTTTACAGTTTGTTTGTTTCACCTGGGGGAGCAATAGAAGATACAATTTCCTCAGGGGATCCTTATTTTGAAAAAAAAAAAAACAACAAAAAAAACTACAAAAAAACAGGATGCCAGCACATGACAGTGTAAATAAATGCATGTACCCATTTCCAGATAATGTGACAAGTTAAACTCATCAATCATTTATCGAGTCGTCCCTTTAAAAACACATGTTCAGTTCTTGCTGTCAGTGGTAGCAAGTCTAGTGTCAAGGCAGTAAATTTGTGCTTTTTGTTTGGTCAAATCAAACTATATCTACGGTCTCATCTTCGTCGCGCTGCTGTTCTCTTGTCTATGTAAACGTGCATTTGTGCCGTGTGTCCTGAACTCTGTAATATGTAGCAACTGGGGTGTCAAAGTGATACTTCAACACTACTGTCTTCTTGTCCAACAGCAGTGAGAGTATGTGAGAGAAATGAATGAAAAGACAGTGTCAATCAGTGCAAATCATTGATGTTGAATCTGTTATAAAAGATGATTTTATTTTCTGAACTTGAACAAATAATTATTACCTTAAAGTCGAGGCAATAAAATGAAAATGGATACCTGATGAATTGTCTTTGTGATATGAAATGTTATTAATCTGAGGCTTAAAGACCAAATAATGAAGTCTATACAAAGTATGTAATATGTATAATATGACCTGCATTAGTTTTATATTGTAACAGTACATCAGTCTACACAATGACACAAAAATTTAACGCATTCAAAAAGTAAACGTGGCACTGATAAAGCTTATCTTAACGGTTTCTTTCAGAATAAATTAGGAAAAAAAATTAGGCAAAACAAATTGCAATACTAGGACAGTTATCTCTGGCTGCTGGTGCTGGCCTGGGTGGAGTTGGGGGAGGAGTGGGCTTCTCTATACTGCTGACTCCAGCTCTGAGGATCCTGTTCATGAAGCTGAGATCAAACAAGTCTTCATTAGTCACAAATGTTAAGTTTAACATCCAAATTTAAATATAACTGCAGGCAGGTGTAATCCGTTCGTACACGAGTAAACAAGATACTTACTTGACCCATGAACTCGAGGATTTTGGCTTTTGATACCTCCATGTCAGCACGTTGACCCCAGCGAAATTCATGCTCAGCTGGCTCTGTGTGAGGGATTCGCACATACTCCAAGTACCTACATACACACAGTATAAACTTATCACTACAATAAAACGCTAACATTTAAAACGAAGCTGACATGAGGAACACGATTGCTCAAAAATGTTTGGAGTGAGTTGTGGTCCAGCCACTCTGATGCAGTGGTCTGGTTTCGTCCACACTCCTGATGCTCTGTGGTGTGGTATAAACCAGAGTCTATGGTCTGAGAGACACTGGCTCTGAACACACCAGTACAGTGAAACACAGTGATCCCAGCAAGGCTTGAACCTGTGACCTTCTGATCACACATGTGCTGGACTAGAGGACTGAGCTATCTGAAAGCTTCACACTCAGAACTATATAGCTCATGTATTCACACCTGTAGCTACGGGGGAGGGGTGTACAATCAGGTAGCTGGATTACAGTCGCCTGATACCATAGACATGTAAATGAGAAAACCAGTCTGTGATCAGGATTACAGAAACCTGATTTAAAGAATCCACAAGAAACAGTCAGTATATCAGTACATGCACTCATGAAACCAGGTAACTCAGGTACTTGGTATGCAGATTAAAAGTAAGCAGGTCACTACAGTCACAAGATTGTGTTGTCTGATTCCAAAATGAGCGTGTATAAACAGGTTTTTTAAATGTGAGTAATATAAGACGACTGACCCCTTTTCCACTGCCAATCGAGTTTGTATTTCTATTTGTATGAGGACATACAACGAACGCAACACACACACAGAGTTGTGCAACATGTAACATCTCATCCCCAGGTTGGTGCTCTTGTAAAAAAAACTTAATGTGAGTGAAAGCTTTTTCAATGCTAACTGACCTGACAAGACGCGTTCATTCTTACCTTTGACGGACAAATTCATCAGTGACCACCCTCTTCACATCACCAAACTCTTCATGTTTCTCTCTGGAGAGAGTTTACGTCGTTATAACAGAGAATGAATAGAAAACAAAAAGACGCATTCAAAGTCATGAGCATGTCAAGTCATTAATAATTAGTCATTAATACATGAAAATCTTGCCTTACCCGGGGTCAACGCGGAGTTTCTTGAGAGTATTCCAGATGAGGCCTATAAAACAAAACAAACGCAAATATTTTTGGGACAAGATGAACAAACGGTGAACCGACTAATAAGGTGGTCTGGCTGATTCCTGCTTGGAAAGATTAAATGGACAGTAGAAAGTTCACCTTCTCTGACAACACCTCCTTTCATGAAAATGACACTCAGGATGACAAACAGCAGACCCATCTTTGGGTTGGTGGGACTACTGCACACACAAGGAAGACAAAACAAACATGTGCCGTGAAGGTTAAAAGACATAGTTCATGCAATAATGTTATTAGAGAGGTATACTAAAAGTCTGAAAATGCATGAGTGGTGATACTCACTTGATTGATGAGGCTCCCTCAACCGTCTCCAACTTATTGACGAGTATGTACGTGTGATTTTTGGTGTCAATTTCAACCACTTTAAGGCCAAATACCTGGTTGAACAAGTGGAAAAGAGTGACGTTGTGACAGTCTCTTAGTTTTAATGTGATATTTCTTTAATGTGACAATGTTTAGCTGATTGCAGTTGTTGCCATTGATCCTCTCAGACTGGACAAACCTGGTCAAAAGTCCGTACCACCCTCTTCATGATCTCAGGGTAGATGTTTCTGTAGTCTTTCACCACGTGTTTCACAAGGTCTGGAAGTAAAAGGAAGACAAATTAAGTATGAAAACAAATATATATTACAATATTCATTGTATATTTGGACGTGTCTTAATGGCCTTTTACACAACGCAGGTGTAAGTTAACAGTCATGAGAGAAACGTAGTGAAATCTTTGTGGTCAATCAAAAACTGTCTTAGAATTTTCTGACTATTAGAGCCACATTGAAGAAAAGAATTAATCTAAAATTTTGAGAATAGTCATAATATTAAGAGAATAAAGTCGTTATATTACGAGAATTAAAATTTTTTAATTCTGAGAGAAAAAAAACATAATTTTTAGGAATATTACAAGCAACCAATAAAAATGGGTGAAAGGACAGTCACTGGCAGACTGAGCTGCTTCTGGCAGCTGCAGTTTGTCCAACAACAGAATAGACGCAGTTTCTTGCACAATTAATTAAAAATTCCGACCCTTATTTACAAACCAACCAATCAGAATATGACATGGAGTGACACTGAATAAACTGGCAAGCTAGTGTGCATTCATTGAACTTGTATGATCATATGAATGCTTCTGTGGACTTGTCTGCCTGTTGTCATGCAGCTTTACCTGCTCGGCGGATGGGGATCTTCTTTTGGTCCTTCACCAAGAAGTACTGCACCACCTCAGCTGTCTACAGGATGGACAGATGAGATGTGAGAATAAATTATTCAGAGAAAGAAATTTTAGTTTTTTGGTCATTTAAAATAAAAATATGTGGATTTCTGTGTGTCTGTTACCTTTTGGTCGACCTGTGCAGAGGTGAGCTTCTCCAGTCCTCTCTGGACCTGTGACGTACTTGGCTGAGTGAAGGTTGGATCATCATCCTCTTCCTGAGCCACTAAGGTGCCAGGTTGTCTCTACATATAGAAATTTGGGCTGAGACCTTCGTCAGATTTTCTATTACAATGTTAAATGTTCAGCTTTCGTGTCAGAGAGGGAAAATTGGTGAATTCAGAGGCGCCATTTGGTCAGCATCTATGCTGATAACCAGTCTGCTCTTTCAGTCATTTTGATTGACAAATTTTATTTCCACTAAAAACCTACTTTATTTTATGGATTTCCAAATAATCTCCCAATAATTTCCAATTAAAATGAAAACTGTCCAGTAAAACAGCTCTGACTTTAAGACTATCTTGGTTATTTTAGCAGTTATTTAATTAAGCTGATAGTGTACCAACTGCACATGATACCAAAAAGGAAACAGGAACAAAACTCCATCGTTCTTTTCAAAAAACTGAGGAGGAAATTATTAGAAAATTATTAGGAAAATAGAGACCCATAAAATAAATTAGTCCCAGCTTGTCAAATGTTGGGACTCTCTGTTTTTCTTTGCTGTATACCACAGTTAATAGAAAATCTTTGGTGTTGGACTCTCAATCAGACAAAACAACCAATTTAAAGACATCAGCACATGCCCTGAGTAAGTGTGATTGGTATTTTTTCACCAATGGGTAAGAAGTAGATGTGGTTTTAAGAATTTTTCAAAAGGTAATTTAACTTTCAATGTAAAATAAAAAGCATACCAGACATATAGCAGAGTGTTTTTACTTGTCATAAAACATGTCTGGGGTGGTTCTTGCTTAAAGCAATTATGACTTTGGATGCTACAAGTTATAGCCTTTCCTTTTCATCCCTCGCTTAGGCTGTCATAGCAATACTGTCCTCATTTGAGCTCTTTGTCAAATAAATAATGCATATTAAAAAGTTTGACTGTAACAACAGAGTGGTGGGATAAAAGGAAATGTAATTACATGTAGTCATAACATCGTTAACACATAGAACGTGATAGTAGGTGTTGCAAAGCTGTTGCATTAGACCGTACAGCTGTTTGAGAGGTTGTTTCCACATCTGTACTATCACTGAACACGTGCTTATCCTGACAGAGAGAAGGACTAAGAGACAAACTCACTGCGCTCTGAGAGGAGCTCTGTGTGGTGGACAGCCTCTTTCTCTGCGTCATGGCGACACGCTGCCTGACAAAAAACACAAAAGATATAACCGCAATCAGGTCCGTGTGCCTCATATGACTTTTAAAAGACACAAAAGTCCTCAACTACCGCAGGATTAAACAGCGCTGAACAGGGGCAGAGGACACGGAAGTGGCGAATGTTAATGCTGAAGTAACATTAGCTGAGGAAACGGACAGCATTAGCGAACAAAGGTCTGACATAGACGCCGTTTAACTGTTTCCTCTCCGTTTCAGTAGTCGGTGAAACAATCAGCGTATTTAACAACCCAAAACACAAATATTCACTCACTTCGACTGAACACAAACTCCCCGGTCGTTTCTTTCTTTACGGAAAAATTCCCGCTACTTCTTCTTCTTCGTTGGTGTTTTGTCGGCGGATGGCAAATCATCGTATAGGTGCATTACAGCCACCTACTGGACTAGACTGTGGATCAAGTGTATGAAGTATAATTCTTCTGCAGTTGTTGACGTTGTATGTCGCGTTATGGCAGAATGCTTTGTGCTATGCGACCACCTTGGTGCTGTGGAGTTTTTAGCACCAACGCCCTTGTGTGAATGCGGTCATTTATTTTGCATATTTAGGAGGTGCAGAAGTGCAGAGAAATACCAAAAGACAGTTGATGTCTTTTGTGCTGTCTTCTGCAGGTAGATAGATAGATAGATAGATAGATAGATAGATAGATAGATAGATAGATAGATAGATAGATAGATAGACTGGGATATAAAGTGCTGCACTGGCACACCCTGTATCAGGATCGTTGGAGTCATCTGTGAGTGAGTATAACCAGAGTCTAAAAAATGCTTATCAAAATATTTCTGGACTATGTTGTTTTGTTTTGTTAAAATCATTTATAATCATATAAATAATCTTGAGCAACAACCTGGACAGATACAAAATAAACCAATAAACTAAAACGCAAATAACTAAACCAGTCATGGACAATTGCGTTTATTGGGCTGGCCCCACTATGGTCCAGCCATAAAATGTGTTAAAGAAGCCAATGATAACATTTCCATTGCATACAGATAATAAAATGATGAAAAAAACTATACCAGTGATCGTTAATACTATGGAGTTTCAATGTGTAGAAAGTTGCAGATTTAGCTATGAGTTACATGTGTCAACCCTCCCTGTCTTAATTTACATCAGCAGATACATTTTGAGAGAAATGTAATGACTCAGATTCTGTTCTTTATCAACTTCATGAGGAAATGTATTTTTCTGCATTTTATTCCACACAGTGGAGAGGTGACAGCAAATGAGGGAGTGAGAGATACAACAAAGGTCATGGGCTGGTGTCTTCATTCTTTTGCCAAAGAGAAACCAGAGGAAATATTTTTAATTAGCATTGTATCTGTTGAGTTCAAAGTGTTTCACATAGACAACCCACACAATTCTGTCTGGATCTATGTTTATTGATGAGCCTTTTTCATTTTTTATATTTTGGAAGAAGTTGTCTGCTTTGATAAGTGTTTCTGTTTTTGAACATCTTCTTTCCTTAAATTGATATATGTCTTATTAAAACAGGATGTTTGGCCAGGGCAGTTAACATAGGAATGCTGATTATACCTAATGGGATATCAGAGAGAGGAAGCATAACAGCTTGGCTTGCTTTCTGAGGATTTCCTCAGTCTCAAGTGCAAATGAAAGTAAGATGTGATGGAAAAGTTGAGGCCAGTTAATCATTAAACTGGGCAGCTTTCTGACTGACCAGACAGAGAGAGACTGGAAGGAGCAAAGTGAAAAAGGCAGGTCTCCCGTAGCTGAATACATTTTCTCCATCAGGATCAAATTCAAAATGAATATCCACCATGTTCTGCTCTTCTGCTTCTTATCAGGTGAGGACTGATTAGCTGAACATCTACAGTATTTAATGCTGCAGCACACACTACTTTTGAACATTTTTCCATGTTTTTCAGGTGCTGTATTCTTATTCATATGCCCTGTTGTTCGCTGATGTGTTCAGTTACTAGTTTCTGTTGCAGCATTTCAACAATCTAATCTAACCAATTGTCACCTCATTAACCTGCAGTCTGTTTTACAGTAAGTCTACAACACACAAAGTTCTAAACATCAGTATTCACTGTTCATCTTTTCAACAGCTCTGTGTGGTGGAAACTCTGGACTCGTCAGTGCAAAACCCCCCATTTTCACAGGACCTGAAGGAGGAAGTGGTACAATATCATGCCACTTAAATGTGTCTGGAAGCAGTAAGTTTTTCTGTAGGGAAGAATGTAAAGAAGAAGACGTTCTCATTAGAACAGATAAGGTCAGTGCTAAGAGCGGCAGATACAGCATTAGATACAAAAAAAAAGGATCTTCTGGAGGAAGTATTCTCTCTGTGACCATCACAAATCTGACCCAGTCTGACTCAGGACGGTACAGGTGTGGTTTGGGCACATCAGCAGTTCCAGATTTGTTCGAGGACTTTGAGGTCAGAGTTTCAGATGGTAAGTTTCTACTTAAACTCATTAAAACTGATATATTTAGTATATTCACTATATTGTGGGACTTTTGGAGAGTAAGAATAAATGGAATCAAATAGAACCAAATTAAACAGTGGGAAGAATGTGAGTTATTTATGATATTTTATGTATAATTATGATTATGATCAAATTGCTGCATTACCAGTCAAAGACTGTGGTTGAACTGAGCAGCTCCCAGTGTAATTGTAGATATGTGTGCAGCATCGTACAGGAAGTACAGATTGTAACTGTTGACTCTTCTTTTCTTTTTTTTTCTTTTTTTTTTTACAGCACTGGCGGATAGAAACTCTGGTTTTATCCTCACTAATGTTGAAGGAGACAAAGTTCAATTTTCATGCAGGGATGCTGTAAATAGTAGCAGAATGTTCCTCTGTAGGGGTGAATGTAAAAAACAAGAGGACATTCTCATTGAAACTGATAAGAACAAAGATCAGAGTGGCAGATACACCATTGAGTATAAAGAAGGATCTGCATTTGGACAGTATGTCACAATCACACAGTTGGTCAAGTTGGATTCAGGACAATACAGGTGTGGTTATGGCAGAGCTTTGTCTCCAGATTCGTACCACATGTTCCTGCTCCTTGTTGACAGTGAGTTTTTTCTTTTTTCATTGAAAATCATGAAATATTTCTTCATAATCCATGTATTTTTCAACCTCCGTCCCATCAGCCTCCACGCCTACAACAACACATAGTTTAAGCTCCAGTTCAGGAAACTCCACACCATCACCAGTTTTCCCTGAAACTACAAACCAGCCTACAGCTGCAGGTACACATCATGGAGTTGTAGATTCAAACATTCAGCCCAAGATGAAAAACCCTTTTTCCAAACTTTACTGCTTTTATCGGCTACTTCTCCTTGCTTTTGAAGAAGAGTCTCCTATACAGAGTTTTTGAATTTAGATTTACATGAGTACAGGTTCAATATCTGGTTGTTATTTGTGTTTTCATTGTTCAAAGCCTCAACCACTTCAAAACCAATCAGGACTCTCCAACCTTTTTCAACCTCAGTCCCATCAGCCTCCACACCAACAACAACCCCCACACCAACAACAACACAGAGTTTAAGCTCCAGTTCAGGAAGGTCCACACCTTCACCAGTTTTCCCTGAAACCTCCAACCAGCCTACAGCTGCAGGTACACATCATGGAGTTGTAGTTTCAAACATTGAGGCCAAGATGAAAAACTTAAACCCTTTTCCCAAACTTTACTGCTTTTGTTTGCTACTTCTCTTTGCTTTTGAAGAAGAGCATCTCAAATAGAGGTGTTGAACACAGATTTACATGAGCACAGGTTCAGTATCTGGTTGTTATTTGTGTTTTCATTGTTCAAAGCCTCAACCACTTCAAAACCAATCAGGACTCTCCAACCTTTTTCAACCTCAGTCCTATCAGCCTCCACACCAACAACAATACAGAGTTTAAGCTCCAGTTCAGGAATGTCAACACCTTCACCAGTTTTCCTTGAAACCACCAACCAGCCTACAGCTGCAGGTACACATCTTGGAGTTGTAGTTTCAAACATTGAGGCCAAGATGAAAAACTTAAACCCTTTTTCCAAACTTTACTGATTTTGTTTGCTATTTCTCTTTGCCTTTGAAGGAGTCTCCTATACAGAGTTGTTGGATTTAGATTTACATCAGTACTGATTCAATGTCCAGTTCTTATTTGTGTTTTCATTGTTCAAAGCTCCAACCACTTCAAAACCAAACAGGACTCTCCAACCTTTTTCAACCTCAGTCCCATCAGCCTCCACACCAACAACAACCCCCACACCAACAACAACACTGAGTTTAAGCTCCAGTTCAGGAAGCTCCACACCTTCACCAGTTTTCCCTGAAACCTCCAACCAGCCTACAGCTGCAGGTACACATAATGGAGTTGTAGTTTCAAACATTGAGGCCAAGATGAAAAACTTAAACCCTTTTTCCAAACTTTACTGATTTTGTTTGCCACTTCTCTTTGCTTTTGAAGAAGAGCCTCTCAAATAGAGGTGTTGACGCAGATTTATATGAGCACAGGTTCAATATCTGGTTGTTATTTGTGTTTTCATTGTTCAAAGCCTCAACCAATTCAAAACCAATCAGGACTCTCCAACCTTTTTCAACCTCAGTCCTATCAGCCTCCACACCAACAACAATACAGAGTTTAAGCTCCAGTTCAGGAAGCTCCACACCTTCACCAGTTTTCCCTGAAATCACCAACCAGCCTACAGCTGCAGGTACACATCTTGGAGTTGTAGTTTCAAACATTGAGGCCAAGATGAAAAACTTAAACCCTTTTTCCAAACTTTACTGCTTTTGTTTGCTACTTCTCTTTACCTTTGAATGAGTCTCCTATACAGAGTTGTTGAATTTAGATTTACATCAGTACTGATTCAATGTCCAGTTCTTATTTGTGTTTTTATTGTTCAAAGCTCCAACCACTTCAAAACCAAACAGGACTTTCCAACCCTTCTCAACTTCTGTCCCATCAGCCTCCACACCAACAACAACCTCCACACCAACAACAACACTGAGTTTAAGCTCCAGTTCAGGAAGCTCAACACCTTCACCAGTTTTCCCTGAAACCTCCAACCAGCCTACAGCTGCAGGTACACATAATGGAGTTGTAGTTTCAAACATTGAGGCCAAGATGAAAAACTTAAACCCTTTTTCCAAACTTTACTGATTTTGTTTGCCACTTCTCTTTGCTTTTGAAGAAGAGCCTCTCAAATAGAGGTGTTGACGCAGATTTATATGAGCACAGGTTCAATATCTGGTTGTTATTTGTGTTTTCATTGTTCAAAGCCTCAACCAATTCAAAACCAATCAGGACTCTCCAACCTTTTTCAACCTCAGTCCTATCAGCCTCCACACCAACAACAATACAGAGTTTAAGCTCCAGTTCAGGAAGCTCCACACCTTCACCAGTTTTCCCTGAAATCACCAACCAGCCTACAGCTGCAGGTACACATCTTGGAGTTGTAGTTTCAAACATTGAGGCCAAAATGAAAAACTTAAACCCTTTTTCCAAACTTTACTGCTTTTGTTTGCTACTTCTCTTTACCTTTGAATGAGTCTCCTATACAGAGTTGTTGAATTTAGATTTACATCAGTACTGATTCAATGTCCAGTTCTTATTTGTGTTTTTATTGTTCAAAGCTCCAACCACTTCAAAACCAAACAGGACTTTCCAACCCTTCTCAACTTCTGTCCCATCAGCCTCCACACCAACAACAACCTCCACACCAACAACAACACTGAGTTTAAGCTCCAGTTCAGGAAGCTCAACACCTTCACCAGTTTTCCCTGAAACCACCAACCAGCCTTCAACTACAGGTACACATCATGGTTGTAGTTGTAGTTTCAAACATTCAGGCCAATATGAAAAGCCCAAGTTCAGGAAGCCCCATGACTTCATTAGTTTTTTCTGTCAGCATCAACAAGCTTACAGGGAGGAGTACCTGCGTGTACTCTTTATTCACCTGTCAATCAGTGTCCCTCTTCCAACTTCAAAAACAATAACATTTCAGTTTTAGCAAATATGAACGTTCCACAGCAAAATTTCACATTAAATTCAAAACAAAAAGTGTTTATCAGGTTTTTTTCATTTTAATTTATTTCTTTAGAATACATTTCAGCAGGTTTAATTCCTTTATGTACACTACTTACACTAATTGTTCTCTCTCTCTCTCTCTCTCTCTCTCTCTCTCTCTCCCCGGCTTTCTCAGATGTCCCTCACCCTACTTCTTCATATGTCCCTTCCTATTTATTGCCTCTGGTTGCATGTGTGCTTTTACTTGCTTTGTTACTGTTGGTTGGTTTTCTGTTGCTCCTCTACATATGGAAGACAAGGAAGAACAAAGAGCCGAAACACTGAGGTGACTCTCTTTAATGCTGTATGTCTCTGTCATGACAACTTCTGCCACCACAGTATAAAATGGCAGGAAAAGAATTTTAAAGTTTCACTGTAGATTGAATAGAAAATCTGTGATTTATCAAACGTTTTGATGTTAGATAGAAGTAGACAAAGAGCTGTCATATTTATAGCAACTTAGCACCTGTTGCTTTGGTATTATTTACTGTAGCTGGCTAATTAATATCAATCCTATGAGTTGGTTGAAAGCTTTGTACTATGCAGATGTTAATTGCCTTAATTGGAACAAATCAAATAAAGTGAGATACAAACATCGCCATATGTATTTACTGTGTATGCATGCATCTACTGTTCAATAATTAAATGAAAAAAAATGTTAAGTGACAATTATTCAGCCTTTTGTCTCATACTCATATCAGATCTGTACCACATTTTCTAGCTGTGTAAAAGCCTGTTTAACAACCAGCTTCAGACAAGTGTTTGGAGACTGAATAATGTCCACACTCACACAGACTACATTCATCTTTTGGAGGGGGCAACTCCCAACCATGATTAACAGAGACATTTGTTTTCACTGTCACTATATAAACAAACACACACACACACACACACACACACACATACATATATACGTATATAATATAATATATATATATATATATATACACATATGTATTATATGCCTGGACTCACTCAGGACTGTTGTTGAGAGACACATGCAATGTAAGATGTAGGCCATCTTAGACAATACCAACCACCCTCTTCACAAGCAGCTGCAGCGTCTCATCTTGCTGTGCTGCAGAACAGAGAGGTTCAGGAGATCCTTTGTCCCCACTGCCATCAGGCTATATAACAGCGAAATGAAGTGGACTCATTTAATTATTATTGTTAATTATTTATGATCAACTATTATTATTATTATTGTTATTATTACTAATGAGCTACTCCACACATGAATTTCTCCTAGGGAATAAATAAAGTGTCTATCTATGTATGTGTCTATGTATCTATGTTTCTTTCTTTCTTTCAGTCCTATGACGGACTCCTGAAACATGCCCCTACAGCTTTATTTGTACCGGACCTGGGTTATTATGCTTACAATAATGAACGGTCATGGCTTCCTTATCTTTATGCACAGAAACTGCTTCGTTAGGTTTAGGGAAACGTCTTGATTTTGTTTAAAATGCGCCCTTCCGGTTAAAATAACTACTTCTGCAACATTAGACGATCTTTTTCGTCATTGTGACAATAATAACAACGTCGTTAACTTTGTCCACATACACTGCTACTTCCACTTGGCAATCCCATTCCCTTTGCTCCTGTCATAATCACTACGGCCACTAAATGTCGCAACAAAACGGAGGCTTAACTGGGGGTCATGATAACCTGCTGCATAGACGGCGGAGGGTATCACCGGCAGAGGTCGCTGTTTCTATGTTCGGGGCGGTAGGTATATGGAGTGTTATATAGAGGAAGTATGGGACCACAGACTCAACCCAAGCGCCTGTATGGGCGTCATAAAACACGAGTTTTATAGTAAAATTAAGGGTGGAATGAATGTTAATAGCCTAACTGTTAGTGGGGAAAATAGCTCTCAGTTCCCCCAACTCTCTGAAGGCAAAGTCCAGATCCGGCCTGTACGTGGCAGCAGACAGACAGACAGAAGTTATAAAGGCAGGCAGGCAGCTGAAGTCTCACCGCACCCAGACACAGTGAGACAGGACAGCGACGGTGTGTGTGCGGGCTGTCTGGGAGCGGTGTGAAGAGATCTGTGGCCCGGTTCGCCTGCTCTGGCCATGCGGGAAGAGGATGGGGGAAGAGCCAAGAGTTTCGCCGCTCAAGAACTTCGTGGCTGGGGGAGTCGGCGGAGCCTGTCTGCTGCTGGCCGGACACCCGCTGGACACCATCAAGGTGAGTGACTGTTGAGCAAAATGTGGTTTATATAGGCTGCAAGGCGACCTGTTCTTAAAAGAAGTTCAATCATAATTTTAGAGGGTTTCACTAAAATGTTTCTGTAATCCTAATTACCTTTCTTTTATAGCAGTTCGTGTACATTTTATTCTGGGGTTTGTTTAGTTCACACAGAAAAAGTCAGTGATCAAGGTGTTGAGGGGATTATTGATAAATCAGCTTAAAATGTCACCAAGGCCATGTGGCTGCTACAAGAAAGACGAGGAATGAGGCTGTAGAGTTATCTGTTGCATAGTAGTATAAGATTGGTTATAATACAGAACTACAGAGGAGGGCTGCAAGTAACATTTTATTATGCTATATGATTATAATTATAATTATAATTCCCCTGAGTCCTGAGGTGATTTGCTGATATGTATGTGGAGCCACAGTCCAAAACATGTCCAAACATTGAATCCTCACAATTGAGAAGCTGCAACCTGAAAATTCATCACATTTTTGATTGAGAAATTCTCATTAATGAGCTGACAGATGTAATAACACTGCAGCCAGTGGTACAGGTCCACACAATCAGAATTTACAGGCTGTCATGATACAGACAGTCAACAGGATACAAAAAGGTTCACAGAAAATGTAAAATGTACATGTTTACCCAGATGTTCAACTCATCAGGTATATAATTTAATAAAGAAGGGACCCTACAATGAACTTCTACAGGTCTGACCATGAGTTTTGACTTCTGTTAATTACACTACAGTAATCTGCCGAACATTTTCTTGATTAATCAATAAATTGTTTTTCCCAGATCTCAAAGTGATATCTTCAGTTTTGTCCAAACCCCAAAGATATACAGTGTACACTTATATTAAACAGAGAAAAAAAAAGTTATTTTTCTTCTTTAAAAATTACTTAAATGATTAATTATCAAATAGTTGCAGATGGATTTTCTGAGAAAAGCATTGAATCTTCACATTTCAGAAGCTGGAACCAGAGAATTTTAGATGACTTAAATGATTTATCTGTCAAAATACTTAATTTTCCTGTTGATCGACTAATCAATTAATCATTTCATCTGTAATAACCATGAGAAAAAATACAGCTCTGTTGTTTGGTAAAGAGACTGTCCTTCAGCTGGAGGCTGAAGGACAGTCATCTAGTTCATCTGCCCCGCTGAAGTGTCTCTGAGCAGAACATCAAATTCTTAACAAACCAACAGCCAAGCTCTGTGTTTTAATGGAGGTGGAGGAAAGAGAGGTGAGAGGAAAGGTTTTAAGGTGGTGTGGGGGGGTTATTGTGACACCTTTCTATTCATAGCTAAACTTTCCACCTCTTTACTCGTACACTGGCTGTTGTCTGGTTCTCATGGGAGGCCAGCACTAACAGGGTGCATGCCATCCCATGGCATATAAGAGCAAATGTTTCTTTTATACAGGCTTTAGGAAATGTCAGTCTGTCTGTTAATTACCATGAAATTTTGTAAAGACATTCATGATCCCCAAAGGATGAAGCCTAATGAGTTTGATGATCCCCTGACTTTTCATCTAGCACTACTAGCAGGTCAAAGTTTTCACTCATCCAGTGAAATATCCATGAATCAATACAACACTTTTCTTTATGTACAAATTTCTTTATACTAATGACATTCAGCCTCAGCTGTATTGTGTTAATTTGCAAATGTAACCAATGTTAACATGCTAAGCCAAGATTGCAAATATGGTAAACATTAAGATAAGGGACAAAATATGCCAAACAAACAAAAACAATTCATTAATATTTATTGGAGCCTTAAACAGCTGCTGGTGTGTCTACTAAGTAGTTCTTTAGTGAATGTAACCTGCCTTCACCTGATGCTGCTTTATACACCAATACAGAAATGCAATTCTGTTTATATAAACGTGTCCTCTTGTTTGTATACATTTCTGAATGTACAGTATATTTAAATCGCTGAAAATGTGTATTTCTGCTATTAATATTTCTTTTTTGTTATCAATTTTATTTTTTTGTACTCAGGTCTCATTTGTAAATGAGATCTTGATCTCAATGTGACTTCCTGATTAAATAAAGTATATATACATCAATGTTTCAGGTGATGCATTACACAGTGACCTTTTGTTAAGCTACTGATTGTCCATTTTATGTTGGAGTAATTTAACTAAATGCCAAATGTGAGTAAGTTGTATCTGATTCTCACAGGAGCTGTTCAGACACATACACCACACATTGCAAGCACCCTGTTTGCTTATCAGTCATCAGACACTGATGGGTGTTTCCCTTATCTTGTAGCGCTTTCTTAACAATCCTCCCTTCCGAAATGCATGGTCAGAGCTCTCTGTGTGTGTGTGTGTGTGTGTGTGTGTGTGTGTGTGGCTCACTTTTCTAATTAAACTCTGTTCTTCAGGTGAGGCTTCAGACGCAGCCCAAAGCCTCCTGCACTCAGTATGTGCTCTACACAGGAACATATGACTGCTTCCGCAAGACTGTGTCCAAAGAGGTCAACACATACACACACACACACACACACACACACACACAAACACACACACACACACACAGTTGCAGAAGTCAAAGTCCAAAAAATCAAAAAAGGTTACAGTCTTCTCGCTCTAAACAGAACTGATCTTTTCATTGGAAGTGACGAGTGACGTTTAAATCACGTTTCATGTTCGTCCTCATTTATTCGCCAAGTCTGCTTCCACTGCACTTTGTCATATTTAGTTTTTTATCAACACACCAAAACTTTTTGCAATATTTTGACTCTTATTCCAATTCTTCCATTTCCACTCAGGTGTTTTTTATGCTCAAATTGTTTTTTTTTCTGTGCGTGTGTGTAGGGTATCCTTGGCCTATATAAAGGCATGGGGGCTCCCCTGGCGGGCGTGGCTCCTATGATGGCCATCAGTTTCTTTGGCTTCGGTCTGGGGAAACAGCTCCAGCAGACAGATCCTGACAAACCTCTGAAGTTAGTAAAACAACACACAGTCACATACACACACAGTTGTTTGCTTGAAAGTGTCTCCACAGCGTGATGGTAATACCTGGAATATGAGCTCTATATATAACCATTTTTCTGTTGCCCTCCCCACTGCTACCATTCGCTTATTTGCAGCAACACACCCCCTCTACACCCCCTTCCTCATATTACCCTGTCACCTCCCACCAACCCTGTTGTTGTTATTAGCTCCTTTCATTTTGACCCCATCTGCCTCTCTCTCTATATATATATGTACAGTATGTACCAATGTCACACGTGCTGGAGACCACTGCTCTCTTCTATCTCTAGCTCTAGTCCTGGTGTTTGTCAAAACCACATTCACTGTTAAGAAGACAGCACTGCTGTACTTGTCCCTCCTTCCCCTCCCTGGCGATGCTCCATGTAGATTTGTTTGTACATTTTACTGGAGGGAGAGGAGATTTTGAAAGTTATTCTTCCTTCAGCTTCTTTTCTTCCTTTCCAACTATTGGATGGATTGCTATGGAATTTTCTACATACGTACATTCAGCCTAGATGATGAATCTTATTGACTTTGGTGACTTTTCCTCTAGCACCACCATGAGGCTCACATTTGTGGTTCATAGTGAAATATCTCGACAGCTACTGGATGGATTGACATGAAATTTGATACACACATTCATACTCCCGTAAGGATGCACTGTGGCAACTTTGATGATCCTCTTGACTTTTCAGCTAACACCTTATCAGGTTAAAATTTTATCCAGTAGTTTGTTTTATGGTGAGATACCTGTAAAACCAACGGCACATCCACCACCTTCAGTTGTACCTTGTGTTTAGTGCTAATTAGCATGCTAATCCAAAAACTTAGATGGTAAACATCAAAAGCATCTTTAAAAGCTTATCTAAACAGTGGATCAAGTGACAGAGAATTATCACCTGACTCTGTATCTTCCGTCAGCTCTCTGAAACAAACTCTATTCTATTCTATTCTGTTCTATTCTGTGCAGGCACACTCAGATCTTCATGTCTGGCTGTCTGGCAGGGGTCTTCACCACAGTGATTGTGGCTCCAGGAGAGAGGATCAAATGTTTACTGCAGGTAATGTGTTGGACATGCATCATCACAACACACATGTACCTTTGACTTCCTCTTTGTCTTTTTTAACACATAGATTTTCATGATTCTTCTAAACATAACACATGTACACTTGCATGTGTGACTGATTATTTCAGATTAATGTTTGTTTTTTTCCTGCACTGGGTGTGTATTTATAACTTGAGTCAAAGAACTGTTTGATTCCAATGAATTTAACAGCTAGAGAGCCAGATGTCTCCCTCAGGAGTTGGTGGAGACCAAAAACAGAGATAAAAGAGAGGGAATACTGGACTTAGATTCACCAGTAGGTTCGACATATCAACTTAAAAGGTGATGATAAGTCAGTGGCCCCCAAGTGGCCAAAAAGAACAGTTAATGCACGTGTCGTCCATCCATTATTCATATGCTTATCTTTATAGGATCGCGGTGTGTATCCCACCTGATATTGGGCGAAGGCAGGGTGCACCCTGGACAGTTCCCCGTCAATCACAGGGCTGATATATTCCGACAGCTATGGGCACTTTAGATTTAGACTTTAGATCAATTAACCTAATGTGTATGTTTTATGACTGTGGGAGGAAGCAGGAGTTCCCGGAGTGAACCCACGCAGGCACGGAGAACAACTCTACCCAGAACACAGAACCCAGAACCTTTTCGCTTTGAGGCGACAGTGCTAACCACTGCACCACAGTGAGGCCCCTTAATGCATGTTTCAGTTTAACTAAAAGTATTGACGTGTGTTTTCCAGGTGCAGGCTAGCAGTGGTGAGTCGAGGTATGCAGGTCCACTTGACTGTGCAGTCAGGCTCTATAAGGAGCAGGGGATCCGCAGTGTCTACAAAGGGACTGTGCTTACTCTCATCAGAGGTACACTTATCTGTGGCTTGTGTGTGTGTGTGTGTGTGTGTGTGTGTGTGTGTGTGTGTGTGTGTGTGTGTGTGTAAAAGCCTTGATAAATGAAAGCATTGTGTGATTGTTGAATCCAAAGGCCACCATGGATTTACAGCCTCACATGTTGCCCTTCTGTTCCTCTGTCTGTTAGATGTGCCTTCTAATGGTCTGTACTTCCTGACATACGAATACCTCAAAAACTTCCTGACACCTGAGGGTCAAAGGTGAGTAACCATGGATACAGTGAAGACATTTATAAAGTACAAGTACAAAGATCTTTCACCTTGATTTTATGTGCAACTGTGTGTGTTTTTGTGTTTAGTGTGTCTCAGCTCAGCACTTCCAACATCCTCCTGGCCGGTGGTGTAGCAGGAATATTAAACTGGACGATCGCTCTTCCTCCAGATGTCCTCAAATCAAACTTCCAGACAGGTTAGAGCCAGAGTCAGCATACGATTAGTAAGACTATGTACTCAAACCTCCTGTGCTGCATTCTATTGTACATGGAGAAACTTAGTTCATATATTATGTTGGACATATTATTTTGGTATATGACATTAACCATGTACACCTTTCATTATTTTAAGGAGCAGCTCAACAGTTTGAGGAATAGGCTCATTCACTTTCTTGTCAAGAGATAGATGAATGAATTGTAACCAATCTCATATCCAGAGGTGTAGTGCTATTTGTTTAAGTACCTTAGCTCACCTATGGTACACGCGCACAGCTAAGATGCAACTTGCAAGGTTATGTAACCACCGTTCCTACTGTGGCAAGTTTACATAGATCAGTTTCATAATGTTGAGAACATCACGCAGCACCAGACAAACATCCAGCTCAGTAGACGACACCATGGATGTAGTAGGTTGCAATTAGAGTAGCATTAAGCAGTAGGTGAATGAACACAAGTGGTCTGTGTTTTGAATGATTTCATTTACTTGTGTCGAGCAAATGGAGACAAATTGGAAATATTTATTCAGAGGAAAAACTGCAGTGCAGGCAGAGGTCAAGCTAGGCTAATAGGCTAGGCTATGAAAATGTAGCTAAGCTAGCTTTCAGCTTCATCAGCTCTGTGGAAGCAGCACAAGCTGTCCAAGTGTAACAGACTGACTTTGTTATGTTTCAGTGTAAATGCATCACAGATAAAGAAACTGTCAGAAGAGTGAATGACGAATGAAAAGATGTTTTCTGTCTGTTTCATCTTTACTAATTAGCGATTTAATTCTCTGCAGCTCAGAGGCTACTGGCAGCTACTGTCCACTTTTAAGGTGGAATATTCTTGCTTGTTACTCAATGCAAGATTGACATTTGAAAATCACCCAGTACACCTTAAATGTCAATATGACAACTTTGAACATTCATTTGTTTTTATTAGCTCTCTACATGACATACGCTTTAGTGATGATCGGATCTTCAAGCGCTTTAAATGTTTATATATTTCAGTTGAATTATGTGAACTGTAGATATTTCATCACTTTGAGAAAAAAAAGAGAGGAGCGTCCTTCTTGTATGCTACACCTTTGCTCATATCTGTCTGTTACATATGGAACTGCAGCCGGCAGCCTGTTAGCTTAGCTTAGCATAACGACAAGAAGCAGGGTGAAACAGCTCTGGGTAAAATCCCACTTTGCCCATGTGGCACTCTGTCCGCTGTAGGTGCACAACTGGGATCAAACTGGTGTCCAAATTTTGACGATAAAACCTTAAATCTCATCCATCTACCTCTGCTAGAAAACATGTTAGAGAATACACAGAAAATGCAGTTAACTGTTGTGGTCCATTGTTAAAAACTGTCATACACATATCAATTGCAAAAGAGAACGTTTTCTCTCCTGTAACTTTGTGTGTGTGTGTGTGTGTGTGTGTGTGTGTGTGTGTGTGTGTGTGTGTGTGTGTGTGTGTGTGTAGCTGCAGATGGGAAATACAGAGGTCTGGTTGACGTCCTGAGAACACTGCTGCGAGAAGAAGGACCTAAAGCTCTCTATAAGGGATTTAACGCTGTCTTTCTAAGAGCCTTCCCTGCCAACGCAGTAATTCTGACCTCTTACATTGCTCTCATATTATACTCTTATTATTATATTTATACTTCCTGATAACTACAGGCAAACACCATCATCTGACTTTTTTTCTTTACTGAAATACGATGTTTCTTTCTTCTTCCTCTCTCTCTCAGGCCTGTTTTCTAGGATTTGAGGTGGCACTAAAGGGATTAAACATGCTTGCACCCAGTTGGTGAGATAAGCCAGTTTGTCTATAACTGGCCGCCAGTCTGGACCAGCCTGTTGCAGAGACAAAGCTCTCTTCTGAGTTGCGTCTGTTAATTCGTACATTTCATGGATGGTGAAATGTAAGGAATTTTTGTATACTTAAATGTATTTTTACATTTAATTTTACAAATTAATTATTTTAATTGTCATTCTTTGTAACCATGATTTTATCCTCACTTTTTGTGAGCAGTGGTATAATGTGTACACACATTTACGAATGTATGATTTTGAGATAAAGTGTGTTTGTTAATATTCTCACTTTTCTTAAAAACTAATTATGATGTTTGTAAAATGTCAGATAATAAGTTTGGACCCATTTAGTTTAATAAGGATTTAAATATGTTTTTAATCTATAAGCTCTTCCAAAAGTCAGTGTGAATTTATCTGGGGGTGAGTGGGTTTGTTTGGCTTATGTACAGGCACGGGGGAGTTTTATAAGCTTTGTGAATAAAGTGTTTGATTAAAGAATTTTGAATTTCCAATATAAATAGTGTGTCCACTGTTAACAAATCTTGAGGCCCTGTCTTGCGGAGGTAACATTATGCTTATTAAGAATAATAATAATCAACTTTATTTGTATAGCACCTTTCATACAAGAAATGTAGCACAAAGTGCCTTACAACAAAGACATGGCATGTATCCAGTGCATCACCTGAAAAGACATAAAATGAACATAAAAACATGTTAAAAACATTGATGTAAAATGAAAAACATTAAAGACATTAATGTAAAATGAGGTGGAATAATAATAAATAATACATAAAATAAAATAAAGATTACATAGAAAGCCTAAAATCAGTAAGACATCAATACTTACAGTATAAAAACGTTGAAAAGAGGATTTTGAGGGACTCAAGTGGGCATCACAGCTCATTTTCACTCCCTAGTGGGCCAAACCAACCCTGATTTACCCTAGATCCAGGCAGCAAGGTCATAGTGATCTTTATTGATCAAACATTTACATTGGGATTACTGAGGGCAAATCTGCAGGTGTGCAGAAAAGAAAAAAGAAAGGGGCACTATTTCTATCTAGTGTTGTATTAGTCTAAGTAGGTATCTGCTGTGTGAGATGGCAAATCTCCAACAAAATCCTGTGTGATAAATATATTCTGTGCAAAACTCATCACCAGTCAAGCTAAATTTATTCCAGGTGAATTCTCCATAAGGGGAAACTCAAACAGGAGCTTTACATAGAGGCGCTTAACCTTTGGCCTAATTCACAGCCTCCATTACCCATAAATCCACATTGCTCAACACGGAGCGGGTTGAGGACTAAACACATCAGTATATATGAGGCTTTAACTCGTGGGCATAAAGTGAAGAGCAAAGGGCGCTCGATACATACAAAACATCTGAAGATAATAAGTTATACGACACCATTTCTGAAGACTACAGTACCCAGAATTCGATGCGACTAGCTTTCAGTTCCGGTGTCAGTGACCATCAAACTGTCAGCAAGAGAAAGGTGAAGTTGAGGTAAGTGTTTAACCCCATGTTGTTGTTTTTTATTCAGTTCCCAAGTTATTAATATTTTTAAATGTATTAAATACGGCTTCGTAGAGCTACACAACATGTTATATGTTTGTTAAACTACGTTAAAGTAGGTAAAAGAACCGTTTGTTGGCTAATTTGACTCGACCACAGAGAACAGAGAAGCAGCAGATAGCCGTGCATTGACTGTGTCAGTGCAGCTACTGAGTGACGGTAAAGCTAAAAACGGCTGCTCACGCGTGTATAAACCGATTTATAATTTTATTTTTTTACAGGCTAAACGTTATATGTCTCTCCGAGCTGAGTGAACTTTGGCTAACAGGCTAATGCCAGCTAGCTGTTGTACATTACCCTGACTATTTTGACTTGAGACTCGGGTGAAAACATAGTAACAGGTTAGATGTTTGGGTTTAACAACAGCGGATTGAAATAAGGGATTCAGGTGGTACTATGCTCTCACATGCTGCATAGGCCTGAGCAGAGGTGGACAAAAGTACAAAGCTTCATTACTTGAGTCACAGTATAGATCCTCCTGGTCAAATATTTCTCAATACAAATGAAAGTTGTTCAGTCAAAGTTTTACTTGTAGTCAAAGTACTGGAGTGCTTGGCTTTTAAAAATATTTAAGTATTTAAAAGTAAATTTTGTCCTGTTCCACATTTACAGAACCTAATGAATCTGAAACGATCTACTGAAGCAACAACTGACTGTAGAACACGTAGAATAAAAAGCTTGTAGGATTTAATGCAGTGTCTAGAAATAACCATAAAAACACAAGTGTATCAACAAAAGGAAAAAGGACACCCAGTGTAATTTTCTTATTTCTTTTTTTTTAGTCAGTGATGAAGTTTGGTCGTGGTAAACACAGCAAACATTTAAAAGTAAATGAATCTTTCTTTATTTCTAAAAGTTTAAGAAGAATCTTCTGCCTCATGTTTGTCTAACGTAGCCATCATTAGGACACTGGTTCAGACTGAGCTGATCAAAAATACAGCAGCACAACATGACTGACAGTGTATTGCCTGTGATTGCTTTTTCTCCTGTAACAAACAAAGCATATGGTCTATCATATTTTCAAAATAAAACAAAATTCATTCACTGAATAAAAGCTGCTTCAAAGTAATGAGTACTTCATAGAAGTGTAGTGGAGTCAAATTTGTCTTTTAAGTGTAGTGGAGTAAAAATCATACGTTTCCAAAATAAATAATACTCAAGTAAAGTACAGATACTTGACAAATATACTTAAGTAAAGTACCCAGGTAAATGTAAATTGCAAAGTTGTTTAATCACACGACATTCATTTCAGTTTTTTAAGGAAATATTATGAAAATTTACCTGTTCCAACTTCTCAGATATGAATATTTGATCGTTTTCTATGAGAATAAACTGGTTATCTTAGTCAAAGAAAACAAGACATTTGAATTAGGCATTTTGCTCCATGGGAAATTTGCAACAGGCATTTTTAATTATTTTTCTTGCATTTGAAAAACCAAATGATAAATAATATACAAATAATTTACAGATAAATGGATAAAGTAACTAATTGTCAGTAGCTGTTGTTACAGGGCACAGTTCCAAGGGCCCAAGGGGTCAGGGGGCCCCGTGTTGAACCAGAACAATCATAGAATCAAAAAGAGACACAAACCAAGTAAACAAGGAAAACAACCACAGAGAAATTTAAAGAAACACAAAATGGGTATGACTTGACATATAATGAATAAAAAATAGACCCCAAAAAACAACTGAAAAGAGCCAAAAGAAAAAGTAGACACACAAAACAACTAAAAAGAGACAAACTAAGCACACAAAGGTAAAATGACACAAAGCAGACTTGATTTGACTCAAAATGACTACCAAAAAAAAGCAAAGTGACCACATAAATAAAAAAAAAACAATTAAAAAGATGCAAAACGAGTGAAAGTAGATGCAAAAATGAGTAAAAAGATTCAAAATAACTTGTGTTTCTTTCAGTCCAAGGGTCTTGCCCTTATGTAGGAGGGGTGATGGGCCTTTTACATGTCCAGAACATATGCAACATCTCAAAGAGAGATTTATGAGGTTATTGTAAACTGTATATTCAGGAGCAGACTAAACCCTGTTACATGAGCTAGTCAGACACTGAGCGACAGAGCAACAGCAACAGTTTAACCCAGGTTCTCTGTTAGGCAAGGTAACTGTGAAGACATCTATGACTTTGGTGTGATTATTTTTAAATACAGCGCACATAAGAAATTAACCTGCTTATAAGAAAAAAAAAAACAATTTCAGCCTGTGTTAAGTTTTCCTCTGGCTGTTTGTTGTTGTGTTTGGGTTGTGTCAGGTTAATGTGTGTGGATGTAGTGTCTGTGGAGAGCTGTGATGCCCCTGGAGGTCAGATGGCCATTCCCACAATGCCCTGCGTTGGCATGGAGGATCTCCAGCTCACTAATCATGGGCATGGTGGGCTCCTATTCCTACTTCTGGACCAGTAAGTTGGAATATGTGCGCACACACACCAATACGCCAAATAGCTACAAGAATATTCTCACTTTCTAACTCAGGTTTCCAGCCTTTTTCTCAGCTCACTGCTTCTCATTTTCTCCCTCTCCCTCCCAATCTCTATATCTTCAGAGTACATGAACTGCTTGACAGTCCACAACCACGAGGTTTTGTTGAACCTGATTGACCAGAGACCCTCTGACACGCCCCTCATCACTCTGTGCAATCACCAGTCTTGTATGGATGACCCACATATTTGGGGTAAGGACAGACCCACAATTTAAAATCACATGATCCTTTCAGTCGGCAACATCAGAAATAATTGTGCGTGTTTTGTGGCAGGTGTTCTGAAGCTCAGACATTTGTGGAACTTCAACAAGATGCGGTGGTGAGTTTTATCATTTCTACAACGCTATCACTCAGAAAGAGTAGAAAATTGTTTGATTTTGTTTTGTTTTTTTTTTTTGTTATTTTGGATAATGAGTAATTACCTGCTTGTGACTGGACAGGACCCCAGCAGCATCTGACATCTGCTTCACAAGAGAGCTGCACTCTAGATTCTTCAGCCGTGGAAAGTGTGTTCCTGTCTGCAGAGGTGAGCGTTGCACAGTTGTTTCATTATCCCCCAACTTTGTATTACTGTCTGTTGAATGAAGCATTGTGTTGTCTTTAGGTGATGGCGTTTACCAGAAAGGTATGGATTTTGTTCTGGAGAAACTGAACAGAGGAGAATGGGTGCACATTTTTCCAGAGGGTATGTTAACCTTCCTGCTCACAGCTTTTTCTGTTTTTTATTTAGTTTTTATTATAGTGGAAAATAAGCACTTCTGTCTTGTTCTTTTTTTTAAACAGGCAAAATCAACATGACTGAAGAATTCATACGACTAAAATGGGGTAAGCACGGTGCAAGTTTGTGCCACTGTAATGACAACTTACAGTATAATGCTGCACATATTGAACACATACGTACAGTAAGAAAACAGTAGATCACACTTGAAAGATGAACGTTGTTGATAACTTACTGATACAATCCTGTATATTGACCCTTTGCACTTTGCCTGCATGTCAGTTTTCAGTGTTGAAATTATTCTGTTTCAGAAGCTCAGTGAGATAAAATATCTGTTTTGTGTTTTAGGTGTGGGTCGGCTGATAGCAGAGTGCTCCCTTAATCCGATCATCCTGCCGCTCTGGCATGTGGGTGAGTAACCCACCACCACAGTACACTGTACACACGGGACAGCACACTGTCCCACACGTTCTGCTGTTTCACTGCTTTGTTTTTGAAGACTGAGTCTACTACACCCTAGATCAGTGGTTGGCAACTGGAGGCCCGCAGGCCACAACTGGCCCACCAGCCATAATATCATAATTTATGGATTACTTGTCCCTGCCAACAGAATACAACAATAGACAATACAACATGGATACAGTACAAATTGACAAAAAAAAAAAAACTTTTTTTATCTACTAACAACATCTGATCAGCCCAGTACAAAGTCATGTCAATTTAATAGGTTAATAATCTGTTATAGCAATTGTTAAGCAATGAAACAAACAAAAAGTTTTAAAGTTTAATCCATGGTTTCACATCTAAGTAAATCAATCCAAAAATAACTCTGGTCCATCTAAACATCTGGTTATCGGTTGGCAAACGATGTCGGCAGTTGACAGATCTCTTGAGTATGGCACCGAGACAGAGGCAGGTGTAAAAAAGCAAAAATGTCATTTTGATGCCAGAATGTTCTGAAGACGTGAGGCTTGTGAAAAAATGGGTCCAAAATTGTTTCGGTGACTATGGAGCGAAAGAATCTGTGATAATCTGTGATCTCGTTCACTTCGCCCATTGGAATGAATAAACTCAGACCTGCTTCCGGTCTCCTAAAGGGGCGGGAAGGTGGGGAAACCCACGTGATACAGATATAGGAAATAATCAGAAATTAAGTGCCTCGGTTTCTCTACTGTCTATGATTATACTTTTATCCATGTTGAGAGTAAATGACAGATTCAAACAATCACACATCATGCCACAGGCTGTAGTGTAGTCTCTTCCTCTTTAGCAATTTTGCAAGAAAGGTCTTTTTTTTCTTTCTTTTTCTTTTTCTTTTTTTTTTTGCAGGAATACTAATTTCAAGCTATTGTGAGCTTTTATTCTAAAAAGTTCTTTGGACAACCCCCAGACCATTTTGAACGCATTGCTGGCATTTATGTTTTTTTTTTTTTGTGTGTTATTTTTGACTGGCTCACTAACTTGGTGGCCCACGATGGCCAGTCTGATAATGAAACAATCTATAGTGCAAACAACAATAAAATCAGAAAAGGACTTTCACTGTCAGCGCTCCTCTCCTGTGACAGCCTGTTTTTATGTTGACAGCAAGTTGTTCTGTTGCATTTTGAGATTATTTTCTATTAAATATTGTATAAAAGTGTATAAATAAGTGTTTTTGGCGTGCCTGACCAAGTGGCGCTATCCATGGTACTGAAGGGGAGATTTCATTCTGGCATATTAAATTAGCATTTAACCTTTTGTTTTGTTGTGTATGATCACATCCCCCATGTGTCTGCATGAGGGAAGACCCGGCACATGGTTGGACCGGAAAAGAAGTCTTAGTCTTAGTCTTGTTTAAAAAGAGTTAAACAAAATATTTATGAGTCTTCAGTAGGAACTAAATAGGAAGTATTGATGCACTAACACATTATTGGTTTTGGTCTTTTCATGGGATTTGTTGACATTAAAAACAAATGAAAGTAGAAACCAATGCCGAAATGAAAAACAACAGAGTGATCAGTTCATCACAGGGGATGTAGGTGCTGAGGGAACATTGATTACGTCATATAAAAAAATATAAAAGTAAGTGTCCTTCCCTCTGTTCTACTTTTGCCTCAGGTTTGAATGATGTCCTGCCAAATGTGACGCCCTACATTCCTCAGACCGGCAAGGTAGGAACATTCACATCCAAGCCCAGCAATGTTTTTACATCTTATTTATCATGGCTTTTTGTCAGTTGTGACAGACTGTTGTCGTAACTGGTGGTTTACTTTCAGAAAATCACAGTCCTGGTGGGGAAACCATTCAGTGTGAAAGAGCTTGTTGAATCCCTTCGAGCCGAAAACAAGAGTCAGGTGTGGACGGAATAGATTTCATTTATGTATTTTAAAAACATAACTGTAATCCATTATGAAGTTGATAACAAATTTCTGACATTAATCAGACAAAACAAGGCACTTGAAGATGTCACAATGAACTTGTGATAGGCATTTTTTGCTATTTGCTGACATTGTGTAGATCATTATAATATTCCTTTTTGTTAACATCCGTCCTGTAACGAACAATTATTTTCATCAATGATTATTCTGCTTATTATTTTCTTGATTAGTGTATACAATCATGGAAATAACTGATAAACTAATCTATAATAAAAATGATTATAATTAGCTGCAGCTCATCTGTGATTCCTTATGGAGCCACATTTTCTGTAATGTAACAAATGGACTGAAACTAGGCTAAAATGGTTTTGTCCAGGAAATGTATGTAAATGTAAATGTAAACAAATATGTCTGCCTGGCAATCCAATACTCAAAGACATAAATACATGTCATATGAAACAAAGAAAACCAACAAACCCTCACATTTGAGGAGGAGGAACCAGCAAACGTTTGGAAAAAAAAAAATTATTAATCATCTCTCAAGAGTTTCCAACAAATTCTCTGGTGATCATCCGATCTTCTAATCGGCTAAGGGTTTGATCTGCAGTTAGCATACCTGATTTGTGATAGGGTAAAGTGCCACACAAGCAGATTATTAATGTATATTTGTAACATGTTTTTTTCACTCTCTAAATTTTCCTTTCAGGTGGAAATGAGAAAGAACTTGACTGATTTCATCCAGGCAGAGTTTCGGAGCCTGAGAGCCCAGGCTGAGGCCCTCCATGGGCAGATACACATCAAATCCTGAGTCCCAGCCATCCTGCTTTTACACTCCTCACAGCCAACCAGACTGATTATCCTTTACCCCAAAACTGAGGCTAACGCCTTCAATACAGGACTGTTTTTACCTCGATTTTTGGTATCCACTCCTGTCTTTTACTTGGCTGGAGCACCCAAAAAACAGGCTTTGTAATTCAGCCGTTGTTAAAAGCAGGCATCATGTTTTTAATTGATTTAGTAATGTCAGTAGCTGGGATGGGCTTCAGTCTACTGCCACACAACAGGATAAACAGTTTAGAGAATAAATGATGGATGATTGAGTTACTTGAATTCATACCAATCAATGTTGTGTGATCTATATGCTGCCAGTCACTGACCTGGTCCTGGATACTGAAGGATTTTGAATGTTTGTAGCTTCTAGTCTGAATTTCTACAGTAGATTGGCCATGAAGTGTCATTGTTATCATTGCATCGTGTTACTAATTTAACTCACTGTGGTTCAGCTGTTATATAACTGGTACCATCAGACAGTTCAGGGTCCAAGGAATTACATCAATTATGGACGATTCCGCGCCTCATTACTTATGCCCAAAGCCAACATTCAGTGCCAGTACAGGAAGTAGTGTATCCTTTATGTAGAGAGGTGAAAAGTAAGGGTGTGGTGCTCAGGGTGGTGGATGGGTGTGCACCACATCGTATTCATATGCTGGACAATGATCTTTCTCTAACCTTCAAGTTATAATCCTAAAGATTTCAGTCTTTTTTTTCCAGGTCCCAGAACATTCATGGAGCAGCTACTACTGTATCAGTTTGCATAAGAGCCAAACAGACTCACAGATTTTAAATGAAGAAGAAGCCAATAATCTGTCTTTCTGCACCATGCAGCATAAGCAACTTTGATCTGATTTCATGCTGCATTCGTCACAAGCATTTTTTTTTTTAATCCAGCTGTTGGAGAGTGAACTGTAGACAGTGAGGCTGATATTAGTGACATAAAGTTACAGTAACACTGGACTACATTCATGCATCATTTCCAGTGAATTCCTCCTGCATGTGAAGGAAATTTAACGCAGTGAAGGATTAGTGGACTCAATACAATGAAAACTACTGTGTAGAGCGGAAACCACACAATGTAAATACATGGTATTAGTAGTAGTCGGCAAATGCAGAAAATGTAGAAAGCAAGACTTTAAAAATGTTGGCATTGGATGTAACAATAAGTAAATAAATAACAGTTATTGAACGTAATTTAGGGCTTTGCAGAATCGTCCAATACTGATGTTCTTATTTGGGGTTAGGGTCGTGTTAACCTGTTACCCCACTTGTAGCAGAACTTTTTACAAAGCTGCTGTTGTTACATATTAGTATGCAGTGTGCTCCTCTGTGCATGTACACATGGAGTAATACAGATTTATTATTTATAATTACTGGAGAAGTAAATCTGGAAGTCAGGACAATACTTTCATAGCAGAGTAAATGATTGTGAGGATATGACAATGGTAATTGTACCATTTTATGTTTTGCTTTTATTAGGTCCTCGGAGCTTTAAACCAGTTATACTGTCCCTAACATCACCATGTGCCCTGCTGTCTTTGTAAACCCTCTCTAGTTCAAATAATTTCTTACTATTGTAGATTGTAGTTTTTTCAGAACTATTAAAATGCAACGTTTTCTGTTGATCCTCTCAACGTCTGAATGCTATCACAGATGTATATAACTTATTTTATCACAGAGGTCAGTGGCTTTTATAAGGGAGGAATTTATATGGGAGGAAAGGCCAGGGCTAAGTGATCAGTGTTTTGTTTTTTAATAAATGTATTGCCTTACTGTGATTACCACTCTTTCCTACTGTAAGTGAATGCCAATAAAATGTTTGACTTTTCTAAATTTTAACAGTGTATCATTTGACTGGTGAAAGTGCTGCAATCCTGTTGGCCCATGTTTACTGGCTTTTATATTCCTTGTAGCCTGGGTTAACTCTGTAAAGATGAACATCCTCCCCAAACTGTCCTACCCTTTTCAATTCATACCCATTATTATTATTGGGCTAATCAACGTTAGAGTAGTTCAGCTTTGGATCCATTTGTAGAGGTTATCTGCTCCTCCCTCGTGGCTGCATATGGAAGCTATTTCCACTTATTCATCTGCCCATGAATTTTTACACTAAAAATGCCATGGTTAAGTCTACTATGACGATTTGGAAACAACTCAGACACCATTTTGGTGTACAGACCTTTTCGCTCTCAGCTCCAACATCAGCCAATCCAGTTTTTCATCCTTCACTGATAAAGCATTCTCCTTATGGTCCACCTTTGGCATTAAGATTTTTGGTGACCTATACATTAATAACACCTTTGCATCATTTCAGCAGCTCTGTAAGAAGTTTAATTTATCTAAACATCATTTCATTAGGTACTTACAAATCCATAGTTTTATTTGTAGTTTTAGCTGTCATTTTGCCAATCTCCCGGAGCCCTCACCTATTGACTTTCTCTTAACCCCATTCCCCTCCACAAATGGTTTGATCTCACATTTATACAATGTTATTCATTTCCTGTTAGTTTCAGTTGACATAACAATGCAACTTGTTATACAACATTTTGGCATTTCTGTGTAGTAGAAACAACAATGAAAAAATCTGAAAAAAAAATTAATGGTGAATCATAACCCTTTGTTTACACATTTAGCAGGTACAGAACAACAAGACAATTTATGTCTTGTGGTGTTTGTGTCACCTGATGAATCTCAGTCCAATATTCAGTATCTTTTTGCTGGTTGTATGGTCTCCGCCACCTCCTGCAGAAAATATATGGTTCTTTAACTGCTAAATGTTCCACTATGTTCACCAACTGCTCTCTGACTGTGTCTGTCTATTTGCTATTTGCTGCTGAGTGTACAGTGAGTTTTTATAGCTGCCTGCTGTGACTGAGGACCATGCTATCAGCCAAAACAATGAAATTGGGATGGACAGAGGGTGAGGCATACTATGTCAAAGAAATGTCATAGCATATTATGGCATAAAAATGTCATTGTATAGTAAGTCATGGACATGTTAAAACGTTTTATTGTAGTATGGCATAAAAATGACAATAAACGTTTTAGTATAGAAAGACATAAAATGCCAAAAATGTAATACTATTTTGAAGCACAAAGTGTTATATTATAATATAGCAGAAAATGTAAGAGTATAGTAAGGCATTAAAAGTCATAAGAACCTCATGCTATAGTAAGGCATAGGAAAGACATAGTATAGTAAGGCATAAAAACAACATAGTAAAACATGGTATAAAAAGTCAGAATATCGTCATAGTATAGTAAGGCATAAAAAGTCATAGTATAGTAGGGCATGAAAAGTTATGAAAACGTCATTGTATAGTAAGGCATTAAAAGTCATAAAAACGTCATAGTATAGTAAGGCATAAAAAGTCATAAAACGACAGAGTGTAGTAAGGCATAAAAAGTCATAAAAACGTCATAGTATAGTAAGGCATAAAAATTAAAAAAAACGTCATAGTATAGTAAGGCATAAAAAGTCATATTACAGTAAGGCGTACAAAGTCATAAAAACGTCATAGTATAGGGAGGCATAAAAGTCAAAAAAACGTCATAGTATAGTGAGACATAAAAAGTCATTAAAACGTCATTGTGTAGTAAGGCATAAAAAGTCATATTATAGTAAGGCGTAAAAAGTCATATAGACGTCATAGTATAGTAAGGCATAAAAAGTCATAAAAATGTCATAGTATAGCAAGGCATAAAAAGTCATAAAAACGTCATAGTATAGTAAGACATAAAAAGTCATAAAAATGTCATAGTATAGCAAGGCATAAAAAGTCATAAAAACGTCATAGTATAGTAAGACATAAAAAGTCATAAAAATGTCATAGTATAGCAAGGCATAAAAAGTCATAAAAACGTCATAGTATAGTAAGACATAAAAAGTCATAAAAATGTCATAGTATAGCAAGGCATAAAAAGTCATAAAAACGTCATAGTATAGTAAGACATAAAAAGTCATAAAAATGTCATAGTATAGCAAGGCATAAAAAGTCATAAAAACGTCATAGTATAGTAAGGCATAAAAAGTCATAAAAACGTCATAGTATAGTAAGGCATAAAAAGTCATAGTATAGTAAGGCGTAAAAAGTCATAAAAACATCATAGTATAGTAAGGCATGAAAAGTCATATTATAGTTAGGCGTAAAAACTCATATAAACGTCATAGTATAGTAAAGCTTAAAAAGTCATAAAAACGTCATAGTACAATAAGGCATAAAAATTCATAAACACGTCATAGTATAGTAAGGCATAAAAAGTCATAGTATAGTAAGGCGTAAAAAGTCATAAAAACGTCATAGTATAGTAAGGCATAAAAAGTCATAGTATAGTAAGGCGTAAAAAGTCATAAAAACGTCATAGTATAGTAAGGCATAAAAAGTCATAGTATAGTAAGGCGTAAAAAGTCATAAAAACGTCATAGTATAGTAAGGCATAAAAAGTCATAGTATAGTAAGGCGTAAAAAGTCATAAAAACGTCATAGTATAGTAAGGCATAAAAAGTCATAGTATAGTAAGGCGTAAAAAGTCATAAAAACGTCATAGTATAGTAAAGCATGAAAAGACATATTATAGTAAGGCACAGAAAGTCATAAAAACGTCGTATTATGGTAAGGCATAAAAAGTTATGAAAATGTCATAGTATAGTAAGGCATAAAAAGTCATAGTATAGTAAGGCATAAAAAGTCATAAAAACGTCATTTTATAGTAAGGCATAAAAAGTCATAAAAAGTTCAAAGTATACTAAGGCATAAAAAGTCATAAAAACGTAATAGT